ACATTACAATTTTCACAATTTCAACATACCATTCTATTCAATACATTCCTGAAAGGACTAAACTTGCAGATATGGTACCCACTAGCCTAAGCCTAGACTTCCATACCCTAATATTTAATAGGTTTTTAGCAATTAACTTCTACCCTCTAATTCCAATGTACACAACACTACTTACTGTAGATCTGCAAGTATTTTCCTGCAGCTCTTTGTTGCCAGGACCTTCCACAACCTGTCATGTGAACAGTAAATATTACTAAAAAGTTATTTGCATAGCAATGTTATTTTGTTCATACCTGTACCACCAGTTTAACAGTTGCCATTTTAAATGGCACACTAAGTAGTAACCTATCCACCGCTGCCCACTGGATGGGGGGCAGTGTGCAGGACAAGCATATAAACTTTGACACTAGCTCTCCACATGTCAGTTGCTTAATTTAGAACCTGTACTTGAGGTCGATCTCGAACCCATTGTTGATGTGACAACATATTGAATTTTGTAACTTAGCTAAATGAATTGTGGGGTTCAGTCCCTGAGCCCATTATGTGCCTCTGTAACCCTTTCCACTACCGCCCACAAGATGGGTATAGGGTGCATAATAAATGAACTAAACTAAAAACACTAAGTATTTTTGTCCCATCTTTATTTCCCCTTCAAAAGTTGAGCTTGTCTAAAGCATTTCGTTTTTAATTAACTATGTAAGGGGGAGATTCTGAATAGCAAGTGTCAATAGGCACTGCCACTGGCTTATGGCAAAAGATTCTGTAGCAATAGAACTATAAGCCACACTTTCTCCCCCCCCCCCCCCACTTCCTCCCAACTGTTCAGTGTCAAAAGGGAGCGGGGTGTCCATTTACTGTACCACTTACATTTTAGTGTGGGCTTCATCCACTATTCTGATGTTAGCTGGAACATTTGTGCCAGCTGCTGGTTTGAAAGGGAGGCATACCATGTGCCAATTCAGGAAGCTTTCCACGTTCCTCACTGCATGTCAGCTCAGGACCTCACTACCATGTTGGGAGGCAGTTGAAGACTAACCAATCAACATCCCAGGCTGGAGAGCAGTGCCAGCTCGGGGAGAATTTACCACCTGCAAAAAATTTAATACTCTTAACCATCTACAACATCTATCATCTTTATCTAGCCCCCAAACCTTACATTTGTCAGCATTAAACTGCATCTGGTAGTCTTAACCATTTCAAAACTATATAGGGCATCTGTATTTTTTATTTGCCAATTCTGCAACTATTGCAGTCTAAACCATAATCTTGCGAATAACTGAGGTCCAAGGAGAGCTTTTAGGCACTACTTACAACACTTCTCCCAACTTAACCCCATTTATACTAATTTTCTTTGGTATAGCCATGACCTAATCAACTTCAGTCAGCATTCCCAATGATCCGAGCCCCTATCAATTTTGCGCCACTATCAAAATCTCTGCTGAAGTCAAGGTACACAAAATCACAAACTTTATCACCATTTCCTCAACTATCCAACCTAATCCATGAACATTTAGTAATAAAACTATGCTATTCATGTATCTAGTCATGTTTCTCATGAAGAGTAGAAAAATGACACTTGCAATGTTAGATTCTAGTAACTTTCCTCACAATAGACTAAGCTAATTGGTCACTAACTTAAGCGTTAAAGTTAACTCAAACTTTTCCTTTAAAACTTGCTATATTAGGAACTTTCCACGACCGTCCTTTACCCGACATTAAATAGGGTAAAAACGGTATATTAAATGCAGTAAAACTACGGTAAATTCAATATGATAAACTTGCATTCTTTAAGCATGGGCTGCATAGTAAGTGAACTAAACTAAATGTTAAGCATCCTGGCAAACAACTTTGTTCTATTCAATTTCTTTATTTAATCACTTTGTCCGGCTAGAATTTTTAGATTAGATTAAAGGAACACCCTCCCTAGTAACGGCTGAACTAGTTAACCAAATACAAATATTTAGGTAAAATACTTTCATAAAACCCGTCTACTTCCCCCACTTCGACTTGTTTAGCTAAAGGCATAATGTAATGTTCCACTTTAGTAAATAAAGACTTAAAAAAACACTACCCCAACTGTGTAGTTACCGGTTACCCGACGTTCTACGCTTAAAATAACCATAATTGTTCGATATAACTTACCTCTCACCCGCTGGTCGAGTACACAGCAGTATATATCCTCCTCCATCACTCACCGCGTGGATACTATTTCACTCTGGCCGCAAATTGCCTCAAATCACCTACGTTGTCCATAAACATATATAGAAGAGCAACTGACCCTAACACCCGTATAGCGATCATCACATAACGTGGGAACATTAGTAGTACTGCTGTCAAAACATAGATGGCGCCAGGACAAACGGTAATTCCTATGGACTCGCCTAGTTATGCGTAGGGAATTGAGCTTCAGCTGTTTGGTCCCGCCCCTCAGCTGTATTCACCTAGTTGCACTCACCTAATTTGTGCTTGCAGGGGTTGAGCTTTGGTTCTTTGGTCCCGACTCTCAACCGTCAATCAACAGGTGTACAGGTTCCTGAGCCTATTGGGCTCTATCACATCTACATTAGAAATTGTGTATGGAGTCAGCCTCCACCACATCACTGCTTAATACATTCCATTTGTTAACTACTCTGACACTGAAAAAATTCTTTCTAATATCTCTGTGGCTCAACTATCAAAATGCATATATCTTTGCTTTCACTTCAGTTATATTTATGACAAGGGATTTAAAATTTGCCTATATTTCTGCTTCTCTGATGACATTAAAAACTTTCGTTTATTACAGTATCTATATAAAATTAACATTTATCTTCATTAGGTTGTAGTTCTCATCAATAGGGAGAGCGTCGGTAAAAAAAAAAAATAGTTTAAATATAAATATCTTTCCTCTCTCAATAATATGCCCGAAACGCTATGCGTACTAGTGGCTTTAGGTATTGTATGTACTAGCTCTATCTATAAATCCAATATTATGTTTGTAAATCGACTATTTATGTACTTTCCTGAATAAAATGAACTTTACTAATATCTATTCTCTGTGACTAAAACGTAAGAACGACTTTATCTATGCCTTTTTGATAACATATACAATTATAAGCTTTATTAGTGAATCTCTATTAATTAAACAATATATCAGAGAGTGTGTAAGGTTCGGTGTTCCATGTGCGAAGAGACATGGGAGATTTTACATCAGTACAGTAAATGTTTTAAGTAGCGAACGCATACTAACGAATAACGATTAGTATAGACCAACACTATTGTTCTATGAAGTCGATTTAACTTCCAGACATGTATTTTTCAATGTCTTAAATATTTTCTGGCTAGTTATGTTAGATATTATTAGAAATACGTATTCTACTTGTTAATATAATAAACTAAATTTGCGATCATTTAAGGAGAGAAGTGCGACGACTGGATCACTGTGTACAGAAGGTTGATATGCCAACAAACACTTTCCAGACAACAATATATCTTGGATAAGTCGCTCCACAACATTGACACCTGGACCGTTGACTTCCTATGAGGCCACATATTTACTTATTTCATAATGGAAGTATATTATTTTATAGTAAATATATGTTTTCTCGTGTTCTGCATTAAGCACCAACATCATAGTGAATAAATATACCATATTTCTTCATTATTTAAGTAATGCTAGGAGGCTTTGAGTAGCTTTGGGTCATTAGGTGAACAGAATCTCCAATAGATGGGGCGAGAGTCGCGCTATCTCTCGCCCGAGCGAGAGTCGAAACTTATTTTAGAATTGATATATCTTTGTCCTCCAACAAGACAGATTTCCTTTGGTGCACTCACAATAACGAGCATATCTCTGTCTTTCTGAAGGCATATAATATTTTAGGTTTTATAAGCGTATCTTTGTTAATTACACACTATATTGGCAAGTGCGTAGGCTTCTGCATTCCATGACCGACAAGCTACTGAATGCCACTATAAAAACGTATGTATCTTCACTTGAGCTTTATATATGTCTATGTTAAAGTATTTAAAATGAAGCTTATATTTCTATCTTTCTTGAGACATATAAAACATATGTGTTTATTAATGAATTTACGTGAAATAAGCATTGTTCTGAGAGAGTTGCTCTGTCGATCAGTCTGTGCGGGGTCGGAGCTCGGCGATTATTAAAACACATGTATCTTCATTAGAACTTTATATATATATCTATGGTAAAGTATTTAAAATGAAGCTTATATTTCTATCTTTCTCAACACATATAAAAACATTTGCGTTTATTAACGAATTTACGTGAAATAAGCATTGTTCTGAGAGAGAGTTACTCCGTTGCTCGATCTGTGCGGGATCGGAGCTCGCCGATTAGAAAAATACACGTTTCTTCGCTTTAAATACAAATATGCCCATGGTAAGGCATTTAAAATGAAGATTATGTTTCTATCTTTCTTGAGACGTATAAAAATCTTACGTTTATTAACGATTCTGCGTGAAATAAGCATTGTTCTGAGATGAATATTGCGGATTTCCGGCTCTACGACCGATGAAAAATGCAACTTTTATACAACTACAAATATCTTTAGTTTTACTTTAAATTTTGTCCTGAAAGAGTTTTCATATATAGATCCAGTTTCTGCCGTTCTTCTGACATGAAAAGACCTTTGGTTTAATAAGTTATTAGGATGTTTTCAACAATATTACTAGGGCGTTCACCGATTCTAACATGGGCGACCCTTTTGGAAACGCAACACATGGGTTGACCTGATTGATATATGGGTCAGCTTCCATTAAGGTTCGGAACATACATACATACATACATATACATATATACACATACATGTGTATATATGTATATATATATATATTATTTTACATTTATATTGATATTGGTGCTCTAGTTGAACATGCAAGTGTAAAGAGCTGTATGACAGACTCCAACTCGCGTCCTGGACTCCCTAGCTACATACACTACCACTTCAATCACTATTAAAGGCTCGTCACTTATTAATTTGTGGAAATAAAATGCAATAACAACATCATGCTTTATTTACTACATAATCTTTTTAGAAAAATACAAAACCGGCTTTAACTCTGGACCGGCTTTTAACACAAAACCGCTTCAATGTCACAAAACTGGTTGTTATGTAGCTTCCTGGTTTCAGTCTCACAGTATATGACAGTTCCCACAAAACTGGATTCATCCCAAGGATTATCACAAACTTGCTCTCATAAAGAGTCCAGCTTGCCATCACAAAAACTGTTTTCGGTCAGTAAGTACCGGTCAGTTGAGGTACCAACAAAATCTATTGTGATCTCTAATATAAAAATGTTTGCATGTAAAATTATTAAGTTTTGCAAGAAAACTAAAGGTTAATCTCACTCTTGCAAAACTAGCTTCACTCTGATAACTTTTCTCCAAAATTTCTCACAAAACGGGTTTTAACATTTTCTTTCCCGGCTGTTATCATATTTAACAGGCTTCAACATTTACCAATTTATTTCAGTTCTCTTATAGCAGGGTTTCAGTGTCACAGAACCAGCGATATAACGAAAGTAGTTTCAATTATTACTTAAATACATTGAAGATAAAATCTTAAAAAATACAAAACGGATTCTGAAAATAATAGAGGTTTTTACTCACCAATCCAAAAATGATGCACACACATTTTCTTAAAATTGTCTGGCTACTGGATTTGTAGTCACTTGGACTCTGTCCCTAGTCACTACACACCAGAGTAGCATTACAGTGGCAGTGTGATTGCGTCGTGTGATTTTGGTGGGGTTCAGAGCACCGACTCTCTTGTGTGTCCCTAGGGTCACAATGCAAGAGTTCGCTCAGCGAATCCTGCTTTTGGTTGTCAGTCTAGACACACATTAGATTATTCATATGATAGCTGGCCCTAACATTCAGGTTCACTTTTTCAAGTTTTAGTGTAATTTGAATTAGATTGGTGTAAACAATGGGTCAAGGAGTGTAACACAGTAAATGGAACCGGTATCTCAGATTAGATGCATAATTTTTTTTCTGAAATAGTGCATCATACTGAGAAAAACATGTTAGATATAAAATAAAAAACAAATACATATAGAAGTTAATTTATATATTTTTAAACCGTGTTGAGCCTTAAAGCAAGATATTTATTTGAAATAAGTAAAAATATATTATATAATAATAAAGTAGATATCAAGAAAAAAAGTCTGAACAATTTTTACTTCTACAAACCATCATCAAAAATATTTTATTAAAATCATTTTGGGACAATGAGGGGACTTGAACTGGTGTTCTGGATATTCCCAGATAGCTGCCTTAACCCACTCGGCTATGATAGGCTTTTGTCCTATCAACCAGAACTCCATTGAATTCACAGAGGTTCCAGAGGCCTGATGCACTGGTGCCTAACCAGGATTTTTATGATAGGCTTATCTACACTCTGGTCTGCAGACCAGAGTGTAGGCGGCCTATCATAAAAATCCTGTTTGGGCATCAGTTTGGGCCACCAGAACCTCTCTGGAATTCAGTAAAGTTCAGAGTTGATAGGACGAAAGCCCATTATGGCTGAGTGGGTTAGGCAGGCATCTGGGAATCTCCAGATTGCCAGTTCAAGTAACTTCATATTATTTTATATATTTATTTTCAGGTTGAAAATGACCGCATTGGCAGCATTGTTGATTTTGCTATTCAGGCATTCAGTACATCTGACAATCTTCTTTGCATCAAGTTGGGTAATTATGTTACTGAAATTCGTAGTCAGTCTGGGATTTTGGAGAATAAAACACAATAATGATTATATGATAGATTATGTACACAATGTTTTGTTCCTGCCAGGAACCCCTTCAGGCGAGATATGGTGTTTAGCAAGATACCACCAAATGGAAGATGATGACATTTGCAGCTTGACCATCTGCAGAGATATGCAGCTTGACTCTCCTAACTTGCACCTCACCTCTACTGGAATATATATATATCCCCCTTACTATGCTTACATGCTAAACACCATATCTCACCTGAAGGTGTTCCAGGCAGGAACAAAACATTGTGTACATAATACATCATATAGCCATTATTATGCTTACCAAAAATGGCCCACTAGATACTCGGATTAGTCGCCGAGTATTTTATTCTCCTAAAACCCAGACTGACCACGAATTTCAGTAACATTCGTCTAACTTGATGCCAATACAAAAAAAAAAAAAAGATTGTCAAATGCATTAAATGCCTATACAGCAAAATCAACAATGTGGTCACTTTCAACCAAATTCTCATTATATATAATGATGGAAGAAGGGTACATAATATAGCTGAAATAGGTGGTGTGTGTATATGCATGTTCTGAGGCTGCTCTAACAATTGTATGCATATTCCATGGCTTCTTCAGCATATGTACGAATGTTTTGAGGCTGCTCTATTGACTAGAACAATCTTGGAACATTGTATACATGCTGCAGAGAGCACCTGGAATACATGCAGATCTATGTGTATGTGTCCCAATATGAGAACCCTGGACAATAGAGATGGAGTGGACGAGTTCATGCACAAGATGCTTTTTATAATATTTCTTAGACATTACATATGCCAAGTTTAATATTGAAATTAGATAATGAAAATATTAGTTATTTTTCAAGAACTTATTTTCTCCCTAGATGATACTTCAAGAATATAGTAGTATTTGATCTGAATGTTATTACTTTAACTTTTTTATCTGTATTAGTATTATAAAAAATGCTAAAAAGCAAAATATTTTATCCTAAAAAGGCACAAGGCTGGTCGGGTGCTGTGGCCCCAGCCACGAGCTCTCCGATTTTGACCATTCCGTCGCTGACTGGTGGAGGCAGCTGTTCCAAATAGGTAGTGGGCATGTGTATATTTGCTTCAGGAGGAGGATTAATTGTCACGATTGGCTGGGCATTTTTAGTTTTCTTGTGTGGCGATGGTGATTGGCTGAGGCTGGGCGAGTGTCAGGACTCCAGCATGTGTGCCACTTCGCGGAATCCACCTAGAAATTTGGCACTGCCGCTGCAACTCTCCAGACCTGCGGAGGAACCCAACATCAGAGAAACATTCACTATTATAACACCTTACAAGCTCTCGTGAGACATTTACTCACTGCACAATGAGAAAACATGGTGTTGCTTTTAATTTAAAGGCTCCATGCAGTGTTATTTTTGACTGGTATATGCTATACTGTGCTTTGCACATTAGAAGACAATATTAAAAAAGTGATTGTGCATATATGAACATTAGCAAGCTTAATCTAAAATATATCCATCTCAACATTTTTTGGACATGAGCACTAGAATGTTATGAAAGGTAAACACATTTGCTGTCACTCCTCATATTTCACTTAGTATCTTTGTGTTCATGACCCATCAGCCTAGACATACACAAGTTCCATCTCTTCACTAGCGCCCTTATATCGTTTCTTTCGCTATTAAAGCAAAATATAAACTTCTGCTCCCCATGCTCATGTTGTGGACTTACACGACGAGAGTGATCCAGGGGAGGAGCCTTCACCTTCGTAAGCATAGTTCCTGAGGTCGTCACCGGGGATCGGAGTCCCAGCACCACCTCGACTCACTCCATTCCTGTTCTTCGGCGGCGTCTCTGCTCCCTGGTCTCCTCGCTGGGGAAATATCACCCCTGGGTTGGACGTGCCATAGCGCTTCTGTTCTTCCATGCTACTGGTTACCGAAGCAGCGTCTACCTGAAGGACATCCACATCTGGAGACGAGGAAGAGTGGAAGGAGAAAGTATGAGTACTAAGGAAAAGATGAACGAGACTTAAATGTTATTCTTATCTCTGGGGTGTTGCCATAGTATTGTACAATCTTCCTTTTCATTAATTTAAATGTTTTCTTTTGTCTCATCATATGTCTCTTCGTGAACTCACTCTCTCTTGCACTCATGCCCATGCACCCATGCACTCGGCCCTAGGTCCAGATTCATGGAATTCAATATTTATAAAGAAATGCAAAGTGCCGGTAGCACAGGCACTCAGTATAGTGTGGAGAAAGAGCTTGGACATGGGGGAGATACCAGATGCACTTAAAGTAGCAGACATAGCCCCTCTACACAAGGGAGGGAGGAAAGCATTGACAAAGAATTATAGACCAGTTGCACTAACATCGCACATCATAAAAGTATTTGAGAGAGTGATTAGGAGTCAGGTCACCAATTTCATGGAGACCAATGACCTTCACAACCCAGGCCAACACGGATTTCGAGCGGCAAGATCGTGCCTCTCGCAGCTACTTGATCACTACGACAAAGTCACTGAGGCATTAGAAGAAAAACAGAATGCTGGTGTGATATACACGGACTTCGCAAAGGCTATCACGCCATGTGACCATGGCGTGATAGCACACAAAATGAAGTCAATGGGAATAACCGGTAAAGTATGACGCTGGATACTCAGTTTTCTGTCAAACAGGACTCTGCGACTAACGGTCAACCATATAAAATCTAGTCCGAGCGCAGTTAAAAGCTCTGTACCTCAGGGTACAGTCCTTGCACCGGAGGTATACAGATATAGGTACAGTCCTATATCTGATTCTCATATCAGATATAGACAAAAATACAAGCCACAGCTTCGCATCATCCTTTGCAGATGACACAAAAATCAGTATGAAAATTACCTCAGCTGAAGACATTGAAAAACTTCAAGCTGATATTAATAAAGTTTTCGACTGGGCATCAGAAAATAACATGATGTTTAACAGTGATAAATTCCAGGTACTTAAGTACGGTAAAAATGAGGACCTTAGACATAATACAGGGTACAAAACACAATCAAATGTGCCTATAGTAGGAAAACAGCATGTAAAGGGTTTGGGAATAATGATGTCTGACGATTTAACGTTTAGGGAGCATAACCAAGCAAATATTGCATCAGCCAGAAAAATGATAGGATGGATTACGAGAACTTTCAAATCCAGGGATCCCATCACAATGGCTGTACTCTTCAAGTCACTTGTGTTGTCCCGTCTTGAGTACTGCTCAGTACTCACTTCCCCCTTCAGAGCAGGAGAGATTGCTGAAATAGAGGGAATACAGAGAACATATACGGCACGCATAGACAAGATAAAGCACCTAAATTATTGGGATCGTCTCAAATCCCTCCAAATGTACTCACTAGAAAGAAGACGAGAGAGATATCAAATAATATACACCTGGAAGATACTGGAGGGCCAAGTACCAAATCTACACAGTAAAATAACAACGTACTGAAGTGAACGATATGGAAGAAAATGCAGAATAGAACCAGTGAAGAGCAGGGGGTGCCATAGGCACAATCATAGAACACTGTATAAACATCAGAGGTCCACGGTTATTCAACACCCTCCCAGCGAGCATAAGAAATATTGCCGGAACAACTGTGGACATCTTCAAGAGGAAACTAGATTTATCCCTCCAAGGAGTGCCTGACCAACCGGGTTGTGGTGGGTATGTGGGCCTGCAGGCCGCTCCAAGCAACAGCCTAGGGGACCAAACTCTCGCAAGTCAAGCCTGGCCTCGGGCCGGGCTTGGGGAGTAAAAGAACTCCCAGAACCCCATCAACTAGGTATCAACGAGGTATCTCTTAAGCTATCATGGTATCATGTTATCTCTCAAATATTATTTAGTCTTACCAGCAATATTTGGATTTCTGGAGGTCCAGGCTGGCTGGCCATTGGCTCTGGGAGGCTTAAGGAGCTGGAGTTCCAGTAGGTTGGGTGTGTGGGGGCAGGAAGGAGAGGGTGCCTCCTTCCCAGTCGCCTCCTTCACCCCCGCTGCCGCCACACCCCTGCGGAGTGCAGATCTCTTGTGGTGCTGATGCAGCAGAAAGGCACAAATCAGGACTGGAAAGGAAGAATCACCGGAATTTAGGTCTGGAACTCTGATGTGTTATGGGAGTGTGATATGCAGGATAAAGTGTGTTTGCTATGTGGTGTAGGAGTGAAAATTTGTTTGGTTGATCTGTAGCAGTGAAAGAGTTGTTCTTTCCAGTGAATTCCAGTGATGCAGCACTGGAATTATTCATGTGGTAGTTGAATGGCTGAAGCATAGAATTAGTTGCATATTTTATTGAAATTCTTAATATATTGGGATTTAAAATAGTAATTGACAGTTAAATATTAGAGCTAAGGCTGCGTTTCGACAAAAAAAATTGTGAAAAAAGATCATATTAAGGTGAATAAAAAAAATAAAATTCTTCCGGAATTTAAAGTTAATGCTGCATTAGTGTCAACCTGTCGATAAAAACCGATCCTTAAAATCCGTCTTGAGGTAAAAGAAAATAGAAATGCAAACCATCTTCTGAAGTGGGACTTACGCAGGAGAAAGGCGCACCAGACGAGGATAGCGACCAGGGCACCCAAAGACAGTTTGAGCGACGTGTCTCTGGCGTCTGGCATCTGGCAGTGCTGTCCACTGAAGCCGGCACCGCATGCGCACGTGTACCCCCCTGCCGGATATACATCAACGTTAGCCTTAGCCATTTAGATTATGTTAGCTGATGATCGCAATGACGTGGGTGAAGATTAGACACCCAACCCACAGCTCTGAAATTGAAGAATTGACGACGTTTCGGTCCGTCCTGGATCATTATCACGTTGTGTTATGATCCAGGACGGATCGAAACGTCGTCACTTCTTCATTTTTTGATTTGTGGGTTGGGTGTCTTGTTGATAGCATTTCATGTCACTATCATAATGACTTACAGATGGATAATTACTATCTTTATGTTCAAGGCTACTGAATATTAGGTGTGTGAAGGTGCTGTCTCTGCACAACACTGCAGTAGTGTAATAATATAGTGTATGGAGTGGCCCTTATTGTTTCTTAAAACTATTTCTATATTACTCTTCCTGTATGGTGATGTGATGAAAATGCCGGTCATGGAGATGAAGATGCTGAAGGAGATATGGGTGATGGAGAGACGTTTTGCAGGGATATTCATGCACAGGGCCTAGGCCTCAATTAGTGTGTGTGTATATATATATATATATATATATATATATATATATATATATATATATATATATATATATATATATATACTCTATAGTGTGTATATCTGACGTAGGGGGTATATTTATGACTTATGCTGGCTTCAGTAAGGTTGTGTCCAATGTGTTTGACAATTTCCTTTTGTGCTGTTAAATCTCAATTGAAATGAGATGATGTTGATGGTAGTATGCTTATAATCGTAATGCTGCTAAACAAACGTTTGGTCAAAAACGTTCCAATTGTATATATATTCATGTAATTTGCTTTCGTGTAAGACGTGCTTTTGTCAGATCAAGACTGCCTTGGCAGGAGGATGCTGATATCTACTGCTACTAGTACCTCTTCTATCCACCAAGACAATCAGCTGAACCTTGAAAACTAACTGTTTGACAATGCTTGATAAGCATTGTTTGGCCACGTGATATGGAAAGTTGATATAGAATAACAGACTGGTGAACCGGGAAGGATAAAGGAGAGAAAGGAGAGGAGGAGCCCAGGACACAGGAGGGATAAACTAGGACACAGGGGACACATGGAGGACCAAGAAGGACACCGGGGACACAGAGGTTCCAGGACACAGGGGAGGGGGGGGGATGAGGGGACTTACGGATACAGGAGCAACCAGGAAAGTGTTACCAGACGGGGTGTTGAAGCAGGAGCCACCGTTGAGACATGGCTGCCACACACACTCGTCCAGGTCGTCACACGTGGCCCTGCTGGTGCTCAGGACGCGCCCTTCACCACACCTACACACGCCGCGGGGGAGCGCAGTACGCGAGTATGGCAACAATTATACTTCCCAAACTTTGGAGTAGTGAGTAAATTATTACATGCTGCATAACATTAATATGGCGTCTCCTTAGAAATATAAAATTGCAAGGATCAATTATTCAAGAATTTACAGCGGGTTCACTTGTCTCGGGCAGAACTCCTGCAAGAGTAACTCACCCGCAGTGATAGGACCTCCAGGTGTCGACGCAGGAGAGGGGCGCAGAGCAGGTAACGTTGGAGCAGGCAGGAGGAGCGCCACACCCTTGCTCCACACCTTTGTACGCTCCCACCTCGCCCCATGCCGTCCTGTTCACAGCCGGGGGCAGTGGCACACTGCGACCGGAGAGCCTCAAGTCGTCAATACAACCTGAATAACAAAAGGCGATGATCAGTTGTCATTCTCCGCACGTCTCTCGTATCGTCGCAGATTTGATCGGAATCGTTCCTACATATATCGCCTCTGAGAAGTTTTAAACTCACGCTGGTTTATTTGTAAATGCTTGTGTGTATTGTCAGTGTAACAGAAGTATGGGAAAGCAACGTGATGAAGAATCAAAAACATTTTAGGCCGACAGCGTTCCTTGGAGATCAAATAATGTATGGCTAAAAATTCACTGCAGTATAACAAGGCGGCTCTACCAGAGGCCCTACCCACCGTCGTGGTAGTCGCTGTGGATCTGCAAGATGCTCGCGTCGGAGTATTCGGGCGCCCCACCGACGTGGACTCCTTCTTCAGTGTCCACTTCCAGCAACTGGCGTCCTTCTAACGATACGGACGCGTTGTACAGATCGCCGTCCCCGTCGTCCACACCAAGGAAGGTCGCCGAGCCATGTCTGAGGGTGAACGAAGACAGTCGAGAAGGTTAGACCGATACATTCACCGTCTCGCTCTCTGATGGAATACAAGTGAGAAAGTCTGCAGGGATGGATCAGGCAGAGAGGCTTAGAAAATTGGGTTACAGTATATAGCTGTTGACTTAATGACTGAGGCGACGCTCGCCAGGGTGACAAGTTAAGGTCGCTTGGAACACAAGTTAAACTCATCAAAGAACGACGTTAACATTCTGCGCACGAGTCAACTACGCAGGTATTATGCGTGACAACTGCGCGAGTGTGTACTGCACAGGACTCTGGCGTGACAGGTATTGTGCACGAGGTGTTCCGAAAATATGGTACTACGCCTGGTGAACAGGGATATGAAAAACAAGGAGAAATTGTGCAAGACAGACAATACCGGCTAGAGAGAGAGAGAGGCAGACAAGATTTACGAAAGAGGGAAATACATTAAAGCAGTGTTCACCAATCCTCTCCTCCCTCCTCCTCTAAATCATCATTAACAAGGTAACAAAAATCACTCGGCAATCGACTTCAATGCAAAAACAAGACACTAAAAGTCATTGACGGATTATCAACCAAAATATAAATTACATCAACACACACACATTATAATTTTGACAAAAGATAGGCATCACTGCTATAAACAACACTTTACTGGGTTACTCTAGTGAAATCATATTCCTTTCTGCTAATTACAATGGACAAGCATGAAACACCAGTTAATTAAAGGCAACGAGACAGTTTATGGGCGATGTGTGTATTCACCTACTTGTGCTTGCGGGGGGTTGAGCTCTGGCTCTTACGACTCGCCTCTCCACTGTCAATCGACTGTTACTACTAACTACTTTTTTTGTAAGTGTCTCTGAGTTCCAGTGTTTTTTTTTAGTAATTTTTTACAGACGCTGTTGTGTTGTTTGGAGACCGTTGTGATCTGTTCAAACACTGTTTATGATCTGTCTCGGACTGTTAGCGATATTCCATTTGTTTTATCTACTTTAGTGTGTGTGAGGACCGTCTTGCCTGTTTGATGTGATCATTACATATGAGGACCTTACCTAGAGCGGATATTATCTTGGGTGGACCTTACCTTAGGTCCACTCAAGCTAGTATTAACTCATGTAGACGTTACTAACGACTTCACACAAAGAAAATACCTCCGTCACCTACTTCCCTCTCCTTCTCTCTCCCCTTCCCTCTCTCCATCCTTTCCCCCCCCCCCTCTCTCTCTCTCTCTCTCTCTCTCCCCCTCTCCTTCTCTCTCCCCTTCCCTCTCTCCATCCTTTCCCCCCCCCCCTCTCTCTCTCTCTCTCTCTCTCTCTCTCTCTCTCCCCCCTCTCTCTCTCTCCCTCCTTACCTGGCGGCAGTGACGGAGTGCCAGTGACCGTCTGTGACCTCAGCCCGGGCGAGGCAGAGTGACCTAGCTGGGTCAGGCTGGAACTGCAGCTGCACACACAGCTGACCATCCAACAGCTGCAGGCTGAAGCTGTCTCGACCCTGCTTCGACGACACCCCGACCAGCTGCCCGCGCAGCCGTCTCGTGCGGAACCTGAAGCAAGAACGGCAGGTGGTGTGGGTACAATGTGGGTGGTGGTGTGGGTACAATGTGGGTGGTGGTGTGGGTACAATGTGGGTGGTGGTGTGGGTACAATGTGGGTGGTGGTGTGGGTACAATGTGGGTGGTGGTGTGGGTACAATGTGGGTGGTGGTGTGGGTACAATGTGGGTGGTGGTGTGGGTACAATGTGGGTGGTGGTGTGGGTACAATGTGGGTGGTGGTGTGGGTACAATGTGGGTGGTGGTGTGGGTACAATGTGGCTGGTGGTGTGGGTACACTGTGGGTGGTGGTGGCTGGATATAATAGAAAGGATACAATTTACAATTCCTCGAAGATCAATCTATTGATGTTATAATATATAATAATAATAGTAATAATAATGCAACATACAGATAATAGACAAAAATAAATAATAAACATACAAATACGTGTAATTATTGAATTAAAACTGATATTTTGACAGAGAAAAACAGTCAACATCTTCAAGAAATGCTTGTAATGCAATCCTTATCTTGATGCAAATGGCACTGCTAAAGCATTTTGTGATATATATATATATATATATATATATATATATATATATATATATATATATATATATATATATATATATATATATATATATATATATATATATATATATATATATATATATATATAATCACAAACCTAAAACTTGGGACATATTTCAAATATACCTGAAAGCTTTAATGGTCCCCAAGCCATAAATCACTAAGAACTCCATGACCTGACCAGGACTCCCCTCCTCCCTCCCTGTCCCCCGAGTACACAGTACTGACACAAACGATCACTTGGTCATAGAGTTCTTAGTGATTACAAATATATATACTTATCAAATTTATTTCATGTCCAATGTGTATTTATTTCGTACGAGTACATCCAACCTCTGCAAACGTAAAACTCATTATGTTCAAGTATACGAACCTCGTCAAAAGGTAGCTACCAGAACGAAAGCATGGAGCCGATAGGACTGTTTAGCGTCATCTGCGTCGCCGGATATTCAAGAGGTCCTACAACACTCCCGAGGTTAATGCCAAGACGAGACGATACTAGCCACGTCTCGTGGCTAGTCTAGTGGCTATCTTCTTCTTTTTGAGGTTATCTTGAGATGATTTCGGGGCTTTAGTGTCCCCGCGGCCCGGTCCTCGACCAGGCCTCCACCCCCAGGAAGCAGCCCGTGACAACTGAGTAACACCCAGGTACCTATTTTACTGCTAGGTAACAGGGGCATAGGGTGAAAAACTCTGCCCATTGTTTCTCGCCGGCGCCCGGGATCGAACCCGGGACCACAGGATCACAAGTCCAGCGTGCTGTCCGCTCGGCCGACCGGCTCCCTAGCCACGATATATAGCAACTAGACTAGCCACGATAGTAGTTATCATGGCTACATAGTGGCTAACCACGATAATCATCAACGGATTCATCAACAATTCTATCGAGGGATAAGTGACTGAAAAACATTCAGAAAGCAAGACTTACTATCTTCCTGGAAATCAGGACACGCCACGAGGAGCGGAACAATGCAGTTCGGACAATCCGGAGCAGGTATTTGTTCCACCAAGTCGTCAAGAGTTAGCGCGCCTGGCCAACAACAGTGGAAGCTTTCAAGAGAATTGGAATAGTTTCTGCCGCGGTTACCGGATCTGCCTGGCTGTGTGGGGGCCTTTCGGGCTACGAAGACACACGGCCTCACAGACCAGGCAACCATCAGGGAAGGCTGGCAACTAACCAGGCTGCGAGAACTCTGGCACTCACCTACTGGTAATCAACAGGTAAGTAGACTAACCAGATCCGTCTCAAAATCATCGTTGGGAAGAGCAGACTCCTTCCCTTCCCACTCCTCCTTCCTATCTACGTTTCCTCGCGATGTTGTTCGCGAAGTAGGGGAAGGGAAGGGGGAGAACGGGTGGAAGGGGAAGCTACTGCAAGGAGACTCAGACTCTTCCCCCCCCCCCCTCCTCCCTACAACCCGCCCACGACGTCGACAAAATGTGTGCCATAATTGCTAGTGGGACGAAAAACAGCAATGTTATTCCAGTGAGTATTTTGGGCGCACGCGAGCGTGCGTGTGTGTGTGTGTGTGTGTGTGTGTGTGTGTGTGTGTGATACCCAGCGTCCCGCCCTGGGCCTTTGACAGGTGAGGAACAAGGGGTAAGGTACGAAAAGTGTGGCACTATTGGCGACATTCGCTGCTCGTCTTCCTCTCCCCTCTCATTTCCCCTTCTCTTCTCCCCGTTTCTTTTCTCTCTGCGTCACAAGCAATTCCATTAATGTAAAAAAAAATGTCCTGCCTATTTTTCTCTGTTAACTAATGGCGCGGGATATGAAGGTAGGAACGTCTCCCTCTCTACTTGGTTTGTGTTATGGACGCCCAGTGGCAGGAATAATGCCGTCCACTCCACCACTATCCCTCCTCCCACTCCAGCACTACCCCCACCTCCCACTCCACCACTATCCCTCCTCCCACTCCAGCACTATCCCTCCTCCCACTTCTCCTTGCCGGTCCATAGAGGAGCAGGAGGCGACGAGCCATGATGGAGTGTGAGGTCTACACTGAAGGCCCCGTGGAGGGCCAGGCAAGAATGGAAATAATTCCTGCTATATTAATTTCTCCCGCTCTCGGTGAGAGGAAGCCTGTCACTGGGCGTTTTGAGACCTCGAGTATCTTCTACTGACCTTTCACCCCCCATGATGCAACCCACAACAACTGCCTAACTCATGGGTACCTTTTCACGACTATGTGAACTAGTAGGCCACATAGTAGTGTAAATTTCACACAGGTAGCGGGTGAAAAGAGACGTGCCCAACCATTTCTGTCCTGCCCAGGGATCAGACCCGGGGATCCTCCATTGCGAGTCGAGGATGTATGTTTCCTCGAGTATCCCCTATATAGACAAAGGTAAACTGTGTAGAGCTGTAGGGGATGTGGCTCATCAACACACCAATCAAGGAGCTCCATATAATTCAGGAAACCCATGCTGATGTTTACACCAGGGGAGTACTTATGACCACATAAATTAACATCCGACGACACCTGAATCTCTTACTTGATGTAAATCCTGTAAATCACACAGGTAGTGAGGCGAATGTATGTATGTGTGTGTACTCGCCTAATTGTGCTTGCGGGGGTTGAGCTTTGGCTCTTTGGTCCCGCCTCTCAACTGTCAATCAACTGGCGTACAGATGCCTGAGCCTATTGGGCTCTACCATATCTACATTTGACACTGTGTATGGAGTCAGCCTCCACCACATCACTGCCTAAAGCATTCCATTTATTAACTACTCTGACACTGAAAAAATTCTTTCTAACGTCTCTGTGACTCATCTGGGTACTAAGTTTCCACCTGTGTCCCCTTGTTCGTGTTCCACCCGTGCTGAAGAGTTTGTCTTTGTCCACCCTGTCAATTCCCCTGAGAATTTTGTAGGTAGTTATCATGTCTCCCCTTACTCTTCTGTTTTGCAGGGATGTGAGGTTCAGCTCCTTTAGCCTTTCCTCGTATCTCATTCCTCTCAGTTCCGGGACGAGCCTGGTGGCATACCGCTGAATCTTCTCTAGCTATGTCTTTGTCTCTAGCGTGCGTGCGTGTGTGTGTGTGTGTGGTGTGTGGTGTGTGGTGTGTGTGTGTGTGTGCGCGCGCGCGCGCGTTTGCGCAATGTCAACAAAACGACCGTATCTCGTGGTCTAACACAATATCACAATACAGTGTTAATATTGTGTAAAGATACTAACACAAATATCATAATATTGTTCAAACCACCATGGCCTGTGATTACCTCCCTGGCTCCTTGTGGTGGTTCCAGGAGACCCTGGCCGACGTCTTATAACCGGGACCCGGATCCAATAAGCATCTCCTTGTGAACCTGTACATCTTGTCTCCATCCCTGGCGGCTTTGTTTACGTTTAGTAAAGGTTTATGAACTCAGAATCGCCACCAAGAGGCTGTTTACAACAACATTCGCCTGGGCTGCTTCAATGCTCATAGTCAGGTTTGTAAATACTTGCCGTACAGACCTGCTGAAGCCTGGTCTAAGTCTCTGACCAGGTGTCTTAAGGTGGAGTGCATCACCTTAGGGTAGTAATAGGCATCCATCAGTCTCAGGAGACTATGGAGTTGCGCTCTGGTGTCGGCCTGGTCTGGAGTGGCCTCACCAGGGCGCAAAGCCAGGGTAGGTTGATTCGGGGAAGAAGAAGAAAAAGAAGCCTGATGGGTGAGAATACCTTAAGGTGATGGTGGTGGTGTAGCCGAGGGGCGTGAAGGAGAGGGCCAACTTGACGTAGCTGTTGACTAAGAAGGTGGCGGGCGTAGTGGGGGTGGCACAGTCTTGTCCGTGCCACCCGGGCTGGCACTCGCACCGCAGCGACCTGGGAGACCCCTGGCACCTACCATCAACAAGAGAAATATACATGGTAAGACTCCAGAGATAACGGGCTCACCATAGCCCGTGCTACATGGACATTTCGTTCTGAGTAGCTAAATCTAAACCAACAACTCCAGAGAGCAGCGTATAGAAGGGGTCGAGTCTCTGTACACACCTCGACCCCTATACTCCTCCTAAAATGATAGTACTTATAGTAAATAGTATATAGTTATTTATAGTAAATCATATATGATGGAGCGTACAAAAAGAGACTGTTGCAGCCAGCAATGTTTATGGTTTTTATTATTATTAAATTTATTAAAAAAACACGAAAAAGAAGCCAAAACTAAAATTAAATATTCCTAGGCCTAGTATAGCACATATATGTACTATATTAGGCCTAAGAGTGTAGATGAGGCCCAGGATTGCTTGTTAAAATAGAGTTTGTCGTTACCTAACACTTTTTTGAAGGGGGGGGGGGACTCCAACAGTCCATTTTTGAACGCTTAACTTGTTGCTGGAAAAAAAAAAAATTCTCATTACTGGAGTATGGCCCGACAGATTTACTAAGGTTGGATGCCCGTAAGGTTTAAGGCATTGTGAGAATTACTCTATAAACAGGAAAAAGGACGTATTATGTTGCATGATACAACCAGTTTCCTCGCCTAATCCGGCGCATATCTTACGGAATAGACTAAACCGTTAAAAAAACGCGACATACTTGCACAAATTATATAACATTATATATATTATAACATATTGACGTTTTCCCCACGGAGTGTTAAATGGACACTAACCCACGACCAGTATGACAAGTGATTTCTTGCTTTCCCTAAGACTGACTGACCTACTGAAGGAAGGAAAGGGAACCATCAGGGGAAAGCGCCAAGCCATTAGAACTATATAGCACTGGGAAGGGATCAGGATAAGGATATGGGATAGGATGAGGGAAGGAAGGAAGGAGTCCACCGAGTTATCCAGAGACGTCTTCGCTTGCACAAGGCTTTCCCCTGGCTTATAAAGGGTCATCTCCCCCCACCAACTAATCAAAGAGGTCGGGTGAGGAAAGAGGAGGGAGCGACTAATCAAAGAGGAGTAGGGTGACAGAGTGTCACCCTACTATTTTGTCACCCCCCTTTCCGAATAGCCCAGGGACCCACTGGGCTTCCCTGTGATCTCCTAGCGCCCCTGGTAACCCGTGACCTCTTAAGTCGTCTACATCTTCAGCTCCACTTGTGTGGTCCAAATGACCCCAGCCCCACAGGTGACACCGGCCTCCCCCCCCCCCCCCCGTCCAAGGTGATCTTAGATAACAACACACCTGCCATGTAGGCCGCAGTGGAGGCCGTCTGAGAGGCAGTCGGAGGCAGCACACCCTGGAGAGCTGCGCCTGCTGAGAAGTGCATCACCCAGGTCCACTAGCTGCACGGGAGAGAGGGAGAGAGATAATGTGAGAGCAAAAGGGTAATAGAGGAAAATGTAAAGAATAAAATACAAGAAAAATAGTGAAGATAATTCACTAAAATTAAATTCAAGGGTTCATTAAAACTAATAAAATAAAATGAAATAGTTGTCTAGTTCATTGAAAGTTTTGAGCTTCTAAAAATAACAAATATAATGAGAACCGAGTTTTAAATGTCTTTTGAGAAGCACTTTTCTCAGCTTGATGCTCTTCCACCTCCCTAAGATTATACTGGATCCTAAAGACAATTAGTAGTGGTATCCAACCACTTGGGCTGGACAGCAGAGTGACTGTCTCGCTTCATGAAGGTCGGCGTTCAATCCCCGACCGTCCAAGTGGTTGGGCACCATTCCTTCCCCTCTTTCCCCCCTCACGTCATATCCCAAATACTTATTCTGATTCCTTCCCAGTGCTATAGAGTCGTGGTGGCTTGGTGCTTTTCCCCTGATAATTCCTTCATTCTATTCCATCCCAAGTGAGGTTACCTTGAGGTGATTTCGGGGCTTAGCGACCCCGCGGTTGCTAAACCCCGAAATCGAGGAGGCCCGGTCCTCGACCAGGCCTCCTCGTTGCTGGACTGGTCAACCAGGCTGTTGGACGCGGCTGCTCGCAGCCGAACGTATGGGTCACAGCCTGGTTGATCAGGTATCCGTTGGTGGTGTTTGTCAAGTTCTCTCTTGAACACTGAGGGGTCGGCCAGTTATACCCCTTATGTGTAGTGGAAGCGTGTTGAACAGTCTCGGGCCTCTGATGTTGATACAGTTCTCTCTCAGAGTACCTGTTGCACCTCTGCTTTTCAACGGGGGTATTCTGCACATCCTGCCATGTCTTCTGGTCCCATGTGCTGTTATTTCTGTGTGCAGTTTTGGGACCAGCCCCTCTACTATTTTCCATGTGTAAATTATTATGTATCTCTCCCGCCTGCGCTCAAGGGAGTACAGATTTAGGCTCTTTAGTCGGTCCCAGTAGTTTAGATGTTTTATTGAGTGGATTCTAGCAGTAAAGGATCTCTGCACGCTCTCCAGGTCAGCAATTTATCCAGCTTTGAAAGGGGCTGTCATTGTGCAGCAGTACTCCACTCTAGAGAGCACAAGCGTCTTGAAAAGTATCATCATCGGTATAGCATCTCTAGTATGAAAGGTTCTTGTTATCCAACCTGTCATTTTCTTGCAGTTGTGACGGCTACTTTATCTACCCTCGCCTACTACGGCTACTACTACCCTCGCCTCAAGTGTGAAACAGCTCAGAAAGATCGTCAGAAACGTTCAATTAGAACAATATTAATACTAAAACTCACCTCGCCATTCATTCTTAGGTTCCTGATACATCCCCTGAATGGCATTGGACGCAACGGTGCCGGCCAGCCATACAAGGTGTGGGCGGGGAGTGGGTGAGCCAGCCCGCCCACCTGTAGCGGCTGGTCTGTGTTGAGCATGCGGGCTTCTTTAGGCAGTCTGACGGCGCCCCTGCAGGTGTGGGCGTCCGGGGGCATGGTGTGGGCGGGGATGGAGGGCGGCGTGGGCGGGACGTCGAGGCTGCCGCCGGAACACAGGTCCACTATCATCTCCACCAGCTGTTGGAGGACGAAATGATGGGATAGAGAGAGGAAAGTTATTCTCTGTGTTTGTGTACATTCCGGTAATCAGGGGACGGGGGGGGGGGGGGAAATTCCGGAACTATAAGTAAACATGTACATTTGTAAAGCACGGATAGTACAGTTGTACATTCCTGTACCTGGTGGGAGTAGACGACTTGTTGCATGATCCTACTCGATAACAATACAGAGTCCACAGGAAACCGATATACAGACACAGATAAACAACAAAATGGAGATGAGGAAGAAGAGACGAATTAAAAATATATACAAATATGCTCTTCCAAAGACAGAGACATCGATTGAGACGGTAATGTAATTAGTTACTAATTAATTGTAAGACAGTAATTAAGAGGCAAGTAATTAGTAGCAGAATAACCTCGGCCGACTCGTCTTTGTTACAGGCCTCAGGGTTGTGTACTTTACTTATTCAAACAAATTTTCCATCAGAACTCACCTCGTCCTTCCATATGAGGTCTATCCTGTGCCAGGTGTTGTCGGCGAGGGTGTAGGAGGCATTGAGGGAGAGAGTGACGGCGCCGCCTCCGAGGTCCAGCAGCAGCGAGGGACGACCTCCTCGCACCTCCAGCAGCATCACGTCTCTCCTCGTCCTCAACGGCTCGTCTGCAGAATCACTAGGCTTCCTAGGGGCTCCGACGTGCGCCATTTCGGTGGATTTCATGGGGGACTTTTCTATCTCGATATCTCCTCTTAACGCCTTTTCCAAGATGTCGTCCGCTCTTCCTAGCGCCTCCTCAAAAGTGTTGCTAGATCTTAAAGCCCCTTCTAAAATCTCACTTATCTTCCTTGGGGTATTGTATACCAAGTCCTTTTCCTTCGTTTCGGTAAGTGTTTCAATCCCATTCTTGCTTCTGCTGGTGGTCTCCTCCACGTCGAGGGACTTCTCGGAGACCACCTCCACCTCCTCTTCTTCCTGCTGCTGCTCCTGTTGGGGGCCAGAGTAGAGAAGCGTGCCGTCAGGGGAGGCGGTGAGAACCTCAAGACTGAGGTGGACTTCGGCGCAGGCGGGGACGGGTTCAACCCACGCCCAGCCACCGCTGTCTGCGGCGCCCCCGCCTCCTGGGTCGGCTGCGCCCTCGAAGTACCTGCTGAGGACCTTGCAGCGTGAGCCCCAGGTGCCGTAGGGACATATACACCTGTAGGGGGGAGATCACAGACCATCTTAGCAGATGATCACACTGTTACTACTGCCAGACACATCTATGAAATGATACACCTATTGGATATTAATATGTATATATTAAATGAGATAAAACGAGAATAACCCCAAAAAACCATACCAATTAATTTAATAAATCCAATTTATAATGTAAAAAATATACAATTAAACTGGACAAGACCTATTGTATAGTTTTAATTATTCGAGAACTAATGCAATCATTATTCAAATAGATATAAAACCCAAGATATCAGTTGTTACACACGAAAAATCACAATTTTAGTTTATAATCAGTAGTTAAACATTAGTTGTTTTTTTCCTCTCAGGAAAAGGAATATGCACCGACAGAATCTGTCGTCCACGACGGAGGCGGCGAACGGCTGCCCGTTACACCACCTGGGTATAAATGAGGGACTGGCGGGAGAATTGGGCACTGAGGCCCGTGTCGGGTGTAGATAGTGTCACCCCTGAAGCCCGTGTCGGGTGTAGATAGTGTCACCCCTGAAGCCCGTGTCGGGTGTAGACACGGGCTTCAGGGGTGCCTACAACAGCTCACCTAGTGCCCGAGGGCGTCGGTACACAGCGCCCACCGTTGAGGCAGGTGTGTGGGGTGCAGGTGTGGCGGTAGGTAGGTTTGGGCGCCCGACACCCACACCCACGTTGCAGGTGTACCCGAGGGCCGACCAGGGCAGAGGTACGGGAGTCTACCACGCTGTACCCCTCCGCCAGTACCGTCTGCGACCAGCACCCCCCCAGACACTTCCTCCTTCCCCCGCCGGGTGTGTGGGCGGGGTTGTGGGCGGGCTCCTGGCACGCGACAACGCCCACATCTTGTATGTCAACCCCCAACGCATGGGCAAGCTGGAGGACAACCAAAGATGCACAATTAAATCTTAAAACTTTCATTGAAATCTAAAAATATGCCACATTCTAGCTAGAATTTAAAAAAATAATCCAGAAAACTATCAGAATACATCGCAATGATAAAAAAAGAACGAGACATTGACGGTAAAAATGATTTTAAAGTTGACAGATAAATATGACAGGTGTAGGTTATACGAGTCAAGATACTATACTAGGATACTATACTAAGATAGTATACGATACTATACTAGGATAGTATACTAAGATAGTATACGATACTAGTATACTATACTAGGATAGTAGTAGTAGGCATCCATCAGTCTCAGGAGACTATGGAGTTGCGCTCTGGGGTCGGCAAGGTCTGGAGTGGCCTCACCAGGGCGCAAAGCCAGGGTAGGTTGATTCGGAGGAGAAGCTGTTACCCAGGCAGCAGGTCCCCCCTCTCCACGGTGCTGAAAATCTCCAATGGAAAGGCATACGCCAATACAATTGGTTCCAGCGCCGTCGCAGGAACTGTGAGACCACCACTAGGATACTATACATCCCCCCGTTTAGATAGCACCTATTGTGACGATCGTCAATAGTCAGAATTCGTACGTTCTTAGCTTTTAGATAGTAGTATACTGACTAGTGAGAAATTACTTTAAAATAAATAAGGCTAAAGACACAAACTTAAATATTCCTAGGCCTAGTATAGCACATATATGTACTATATTAGGCCTCAGATATCGTGTATTAGGCCTAGGAGGAGGTTAGGTTACTTTAGCTTGCCAAAGCAACACAAGTAAACAAATTTTTTTCCTGTTTGTCCAACTCAATAGTACAGATTTCTACGTTCTAATTTCGATATACGTTGGTATATATATATATACTATGGTCCTCATCGTTACTATAAGTACTATCAAAACGGGAGGATGGGCTGAACAATTGCACTCCCGTCCACCGCGATCACTCACAGATGACTTACATGTTCCTGAAGATTAGCTCGACAGGCCACCTGAACACGATCAAACACGTTACAAACCCATTTTTACTTCCCATAAGATTGGAGATTCGGGAACGTATCCTGCGTTGTGGAACACAAATTAATACTCACACAAGTTTCCTCCCTGCCTGCTGTACGAGGGACCCACCTGCTGCCTGCTGTACGAGGGACCCACCTGCTGTGCGAGGGACCCCACCTGCTATACAGGGGACCAACCTGCTGTACGAGGGACCCACCTGCTGCCTGCTGTACGAGGGGACCAACCTGCTGTGCGAGGGACCCCACCTGCTATACAGGGGACCAACCTGCTGTACGAGGGACCCACCTGCTGTACGAGGGACCCACCTGCTGCCTACGGTACAAGAGGATGTGACCGAGGTTGTGAACGCCAGGGGCCACCACCCACACACGGGTTGTGGTCGCCTTGTGTTTGATCGTCGTCCGCGACTCCTCCTGCTGACTGGACGCCACCCGCACGCCCTCCCACTCCCGCCCGCCCACGCCCTCTTGGTTCACCCACGCCCACACGCCACTGCTCGCTTCAATCCACGCCCTGGAAGCCTCCGCCAACTGGTCCACGAGAGAGGACCCTCCCTGCAGAGAAACAATCGCTGGAGGAAAATGCACGCACCAAGCACTCAACACCGATGTAGAGAAACACCAAGATGGCGGCAGATTGGATTGGGAGATGACGATGAGATCCTGAAGAATACTTAAGGGTCTTAATTAATTAAGCCCTGGAGTGCGACAAAATTAAGTCCAATTAAGCCCTGACGGGGGGATTCGCGCCATCAGGAAATAAAATCTACTTTTATTTTCGTGTTTCTCTTACATTAATACTTCTCTTTGTTCTCTTTCCCTGCCAGTACCAGAAGTATTTCTGGTACTTCCCAGGAATTTCACCTGTGTAAGTAAATCTCTTATTACCCTCTTGGATGGTACTTCACTTAACCTTTCCGTTTAACAAAGAAACGGAAAAATAGCCTAATGATCTATTTATATACAAATATCTAACTGAATTAGACTTTAATGTTAAAATTTTAATGTTTGTAAATTAAAAATATAGTGTTTCACTAGTGGAAATACACTCAACGTGCTCAACACATAAGGAAGTGGACTAAACATCATGGACGTATATAACACACACACCCACCCCACAAAACAGACCTCACACTTACAAAACAAGAACACTAGAAACACTCATATCGCACTCAATACAAAACCAATGCGAGTTATTGTTGTTGTTTAAGATTCGCAACCTATAACAAAAACTTCCAAGTAGCACGGGCTATGGTGAGCCCATGCAATGTGAGTTAAGTCCTGAGCCGCAGCAGTCAGTCTCCTCACCTGGCCGGCCTCCTCGCTGACCGCTTGGTACGGGTCAACAGCCAGAGTAAGGGGCGTGGCCTGTGTGACATCATGCAGGGTCAGCGACTTGACCTCGACTGTGACGTTGGCCATGACCCCAGACTGACCTTGACTGGCGTCACTGACCCAGAAGCCCAACTCGTACCTGAAGGCAGCAAAGAAGAGGTAAGAAAACTGGTTATTTCTTGCAATTTCTCTGAGACTCCAACCAGGTCATTGGTGTCGGATCAAAGATGCTTTACAATGTAAATTTAAACAAATATTAAAATGTAAACTGAAACATAACCGAGTTAGAAATGATTAAAGAGCAGCAACTCTTCAACGAGTTTAATTTAGTAGAGTAAGGGGAAACCCCAAGAAACCTTTCACCTACCGGCCATCCGGGGTGTTAGGTGCCATGGTGAGGGCTCCTGTAGAGGCGCTCAGGAAGAACCCTGACTGGTGGTGTCTCCAGGCATAGGTCTTGGCGGATGCGTCCCAATCGTCGGGGTCCTGGACATACACCCTGCCCAGGGGCACCAGGCCCTTCTGGTGCTGTGAGGACACGCCAGGGGGAAGGTCAGTCGACGAGACGCCACGTGAGGATGAGAAATGTGTGTGTGGGCGTGCGTGAGTCCGCTCGCAGGATAGGTATAGGGGGGTGCATAATACACTACCGTTCATAGGATGATAGTGAAGCCTTAACGCAAGGTGTTGCAAGGAGACTAGCAGGCGGGAAATAAAGAGCTAGACCTCAGTGAGAGAGAGATAGAGATAGAGAGAGAGAGAGAGAAATACTGCATGCCATGAGAGATTCTTCACTGGAGCGCCTGTTCCCCCCTCACAGAAGAATGACAGTCTGGCAAAGTTTCTCGGGACGACTAAACTTTGAACAATTTTTCTTAAACGTCTGGATATATATTCTCAAGGGATAACTGCATGATTCCGTACCCACCCAGTGATAGTGGGAGGGGGGAGGGAAAGAAAGAAAGAAAGAGAGAGAAAGAGAGAGAAAGAGAGAGAGAGAGAGAGAGATACAAAAATGATATTTATTCGAGGGCACTAGAAATAGAGGTCCACTGGTAAAGTTAGACCCGTCTAGTCTCAGTGGGCTGAGGTAGAGGAAAGAAGACTAAGAAACAAGACAGGAGCAGAAAATATTATTAGAGGAGCTAAAAACAGACAAATAACAGAAAACGGATTTTTTTTCCAACGGGACACTTGACAAAATGAAGGAGAATATTAAAAGAAAGAATAGATGTGTGATAACGGGTGAGCCCAGGGATCTCAACAGACTATTCTCTCCTCTGGAGTGCAAAGATGGTGGGCAGTAATTGTCTTGTGTGCACGACTCCAGCTCCCGGCCCCATCACGCTTACTTATCTTCCATGACTGTGTCCCAGCACCACATCTCAGGACAAGATGCAACACCTCGCTCACAGGAACATCTTCAAAAGTATACTCAGCTGTTCAGTGTATAAACACAGAGTATGTCTTGAATCTGGACTATGTCTGGATACGTGGCGGGTGTAGTGTGGCCCCAGGCGGCTGTAGTGTGGCCCTGGCGGCTGCAGTGTGGCCCCAGGCGGCTGTAGTGTGGCCCTTGGCGGGTGTACTGTGGACCCTGGTGTGTGTAGCGTGGCCCTGGTGTGTGTAGCGTGGCCCTGGCGTGTGTAACGTGGCCCCTGGCGAGTGTAGCGAGGCCCCTGGCGAGTGTAGCGAGGCCCCTGGCGAGTGTAACGTGACCCTGGCGACTGTAGCGTGGCCCCCTGGCGGGTGTAGCGTGGCCCCTGGCCGGTGTAGCGTGGCCCCTGGCCGGTGTAGCGTGGCCCCTGGCCGGTGTAGCGTGGCCCCTGGCCGGTGTAGCGTGGCCCCTGGCGGGTGTATCGTGGCCCTGGCGACTGTAGCGTGGCCCCTGGCGGGTGTAGCGTGGCCCTGGCCGGTGTATCGTGGCCCCTGGCGGGTGTAGCGTGGCCCCAGCGTGAATAGCGTGGCCCCAGCGTGAATAGCGTGGCCCTGGCGGGTATAGCGTGGATACACGAACATCACTAGCGCGAGCGGACGAGATTGGTGCAACAGATTCAATCAAATTTATTGTCACTGTTGAGGTGTATAATGTATTCCCGTTGATGGCCGCTTGAGGTGTGTGCGTGGTGTTGAACACGGTTGGGGAGGGTCGAGGTCCGTCAGGTGTCAATCAGCTAAACGTTCCCGTGGAGTCATTTAATCTAACTTTTATTATCCATTTGATTTCCTGTCATCAGCGTTCACCGGTTTATTAGAAGTGTTCCAGGGACTTCATATTCGCTCTCATGTTAAGCTCTGTTGTACACGAAGGGAAACAAAGTTGTGTTTGTTGATGACGGAAAAAGAGTTATTTTCCTCGCTTTCGACACCTTTGGTGATTGTCCTTATTTCAGGTGTCACGTGTGTGTGTGTGTGTGTGTGTGTGTACTCACCTAGTTGTGTTTGCGGGGGTTGAGCTCTGGCTCTTTGGTCCCGTGTGTGTGTGTGTGTGTGTGTGTGTGTGTGTGTGTGTGTGTGTGTGTGTGTGTGTGTACTCACCTAGTTGTGTTTGCGGGGGTTGAGCTCTGGCTCTTTGGTCCCGTGTGTGTGTGTGTGTGTGTGTGTGTGTGTGTGTGTGTGTGTGTGTGTGTGTGTGTGTGTGTGTGTGTGTGTGTGTGTGTGTGTGACCGTCTAAATGAACTGTCACACGTGCGTGAGGTTGTTCAGTAGTTACAGTGTGGCACAGCTATAGTTCAGGTAAGCTGTCATATAGTCTAGGGGGCCCCATCCACACACTCCTCAAACATACTAAATCGAGAGAAACTACCGACTGGGGACCTATAGAGAAACATTACCTCTGGGATGATACACGTTGCATGCACTTGCAAACCTTCTCTGCAACAATGAAGACAGGTTTTGTGTGTGGCTGAAACTATGACAAGATGCAAAATGAGTTAGATCTTCAAACCCGGTATATGGCAAGAAGACAAGGGAAGAGAATTATCAGGCAAAAGCGCCATTATATAAGCCATTATATACGATTACATAATGGCTCAGGCTGCACAATCACGTTAACGTATTGTGTCAATGAGTAAATAAGGATCCATGAGGAAGGAGGACTCATGCCCTCCTCTTCCTCGTGGCCTCTTACTCATTTTCCTCAATACATGGAGTATAATACAAGTCTGATCTAGGTTAATAATAGTACTTCTGGCATATTTATAGAACATGGGATATTATCAACAATAACAATCATAGGCATTGCAGATTAATGCAACATATTTAAATTGTGTCGAGTTGTTGGATGCAAGAGTTCACAAAATGAATACAGGTGAACTGAAGTTAATCATGGGAGAAAGGGACGGTGAGAGAGAGAGAGAGAGAGAGAGAAGAGAGAGAGAAGGAGAGAGAGAAGGAGAGAGAGAAGGAGAGAGGAGAGAGAGAAGGAGAGAGAGAAGGAGAGAGAGAAGGAGAGAGAGAAGGAGAGAGAGAAGGAGAGAGAGAAGGAGAGAGAGAAGGAGAGAGAGAAGGAGAGAGAGAAGGAGAGAGAGAAGGAGAGAGAGAAGGAGAGAGAGAAGGAGAGAGAGAAGGAGGAGAGAAGAGAAGGAGAGAGAGAGAGGAAGGAGAGAGAGAAGGAGAGAGAGAAGGAGAGAGAGAGAGAGAGAGGGGGGGGGGAGATAGGAGGTGGGGGATATAGAAAGAGGGGGGGGTGGGATAAATGATTGGAGAAAAATTTGAGACCATTGATAAATTTCTGAACTTAAGAGTGAGAGAAGCCCAGACGATAGTGGATTAGGAGGAATATCATACCTTCTTGACAGCAGGAGCTGCAAAATCTTATAACAGGGGCACGTTCTCTCTCCTCTTGAGTAAGCACCACTCTCCTGGATGGCCTGCCTTCCCCCCCCCCCCTCCATCGCCAACCTCCCGTCGTTTGTAAGAATTGAGAGGGACCTGCTGCATGGGTAACAGCTTCTCCTCCATATCAACCTACCCTGGTTTTGCGCCCTGGAGAGGCCACCCCAGACCGACAACCAGAGCGCAACTCCATAATCTCACGAGACTGATAAATGCCTACTGCTACACACGGATGAGAACCGTGCAAAATGACTTATCAAAGTCATTCTCAAGAATTTCACTGCATCAATGATCATTATTCCTAAGTTGCCTCACGTTTGGACCACGTCTCCTCAACACACACACAAACACACACAAACACACACGTGAAATCCAGGCAACTGACCAGATGAAAGTTTTTACACACAGTTGGGTCCTGGTTCATCCTGCTCCTTACTTGATTGTTAATTAGCATTACATTTTATTTATTCAAATTGGCTAATAAATATAAAGGCTCGCTAAAAATGAGTTTCTAGGGACAGGCTCCAGACGAACCGATCCAGGATAACGACCCTTAGCTCGCAATTTCATTAGGAACTTTAGGACAATTCATAATAAAACATTTGTCTCAATTGACGATGTAGAATGATTGATGCAACAGTGTATGACAACGGTGAAGGCAGTGACGGGTCTATATACACCGTGGTTGCGACAGTAACTTACCTTGACTGTGTGGACAGTGACGGTCTTGGAGGCAGGCGCCATGGGGTTGTCGTTGAGGTCTGCGACGTGGACGGTAAGGGTGAGGGTGGCGGAGACGGAGCCAGCGTCACCCACCAGCAGAGGCACCAGCAGCAGGCGGCTCTCCTCTCGGTCCAGCCCTCCGACGGTCGACACCACGCCTATACCTCGACCCTCGTCTCCTCCTGTGTCAAGAAGAGACCAGGGGGGGAGAGAGAGAGAGAGAGAGAGAGATTGGGATATCAGGGGGAAAAGCTACAAGCCACTACGACTATATAACACTTGGAAGGAGTCAGGATAAGATTTTGGGATGGGACGAAGGGACGGAATGGTGCCCCAACCACTTAGACGGTCGAGGATTGAGCGCCGACCTACATGACGGGAGACCGTCGCTCCACCATCCAGCCCAAATGAGAGAAAGAGCGAAAATATATATATATATAGCTGTTTTGATAGATGAGTTGTGTAGGGTCGTGCACGCTGACAAATGTACAGTACTAACCCTGTGTCTAAAATTGGTTACGAGAATCCCCTTCCCCCCTGTCCCACGCCCTTCTACAGGACTGGTGGAATATTCCAGCAATGTTGCAGAAATATTTTCAGAAGCCTTCAACTTCAATTCACCTTTCACAAAGTTGTGTACATTTTCCACTCAACACCACCCACTGACACGATTCAACTGCAGTCAACTTTTCGATTTTTAAGAGTTCAGTTTGGTGTGTGTGTGTGTGTGTGTATGTGTGTGTGTATGAGTGTATGTGTGTATGTGTGTATGTGTGTGTGTGTGTATGTGTGTATGTGTGTATGTGTGTGTGTGTGTATGTGTGTATGTGTATGTGTGTATGTATGTGTGTGTGTGTGTGTGTGTGTGTGTGTGTGTGTGTGTGTGTGTGTGTGTGTGTGTGTGTGTGTGTGTGTGTGTTCGCGCGCGCGTACAGTCCGCCCTCCTAAGGTTTCCAACGTCAAGAAAGTCAATTTAAAGTGTCCTCTCCTAACCTACCAGAGAACCCAAAACAGAAAACGGGACAGCACCTCACTTTCGGCAGCCGCTTTCATATTCTATTGTCACAATTTTTGGCCTTACGTGGCGCATACGAGCGAAAAGCAACATTCTTTGTAAGAGGACAAGTTGGTGTGTGTATACATGTGTATGTTTAAGTGTATCTTGTAGAGTCTGCTTGCGTTTGTCTATGAATTGTGTCAAGAAAATTAAATATATCGTTTCTTTGGAAAGATTCCGTATTCTTTCGTTCATTACCCCTTTAAACTTCGTCCATCATCACAATAAACCCCATATTCCCCCCTCACGAAGTCACAGAAGCTTTCGAGTTGTTACTTTGTGCGTTGTCCAACGAAACGCAATGACCGACTCTCGAGGTCTCTGAATTCCGAGCTTCCAGAGCAAAAACTGGCAGATATATTTTTGTGCCGTGGTGATTGTCCAAGTCAACTGGCACAGAATATAACTAATGAGGGAGCACGGCCAACTGGCGCCAACAGCTGTGGACAGGGATTTATTTTTATTTGATTTTTTCTGGGGGGCAGGAATTCGTGGCAGAGTTGTCAGATCACGTCACTACGCGACAGGAACCTGTCTGATTCTTCAGGGAGTTGCCAGATATGTAACTTCTGAAGGACAGTAATACAATCACATAAATAAATGTTAATAATAATAATTATTATTAATGTAAAGGTACACACATAAAAAATAAGTTGCAAAACAGAATGCTGGATTTCTAGATTGAGGTAAAATATATATATATAAATATATATATATATATATATATATATATATATATATATATATATATATATATATATACCATGCCTAAAGCCACTTTATCGTACACACAAAGCATTTCGGGGAAACATTATTAATAAAATGTTGCTGAAACAATAGGGAAGCTGAAGCTCAATGATACAGGAAGCTGTACATCTGAAGATCTATTATGAATGATAAAACTTAAAAAAAAAAAAAAATCAACTGCAGTATAAAAAATGATGGAACCTATGCATATTGGAACAGATAATTGGTATTTACGTGTATCGCCACACCAATTGGCCTCAAATGCAAAGGCAAGGAAGAAACGGGGGGGGGGGGGGCCTAGAGGGGGGGATTAATCAGGGGAAAGCACCAAGCCATTATGACTATATAGCACTGGGTAGGGGGTAAGGATCAGGATTTGAGATGGGATGGGGGGAAGGAACGGTGCCCAACTACTTCAACCTGTCCTCAGACCAAGGCCATTCCATCCAGCGGTCGACCCCCAAAGAAGCATTCATCAATGTTAACATGCTGTTCATTCAAAATAGGATTTTTTTTTTAAATATAAATTAATATTATTTGGCATTAGCATATTGTGCATATTTAGGCATTGGTTAGGTTAGGAATTTATGTTCCGTTGGCTATTATTTGTATTTGTAGTACGTGGGTGAAGCATTTACAGCGTTGTGGTTCGAACAAAAAGTCGTCAGTGAAGCACTTGTTCCGGAAGTGTTCGGACGTCACCAGTTATGAGTCGTGTGTTAGTTTAGTTCATTTATTATGCACCCCATACCCATCTTGTGGGCGGTAGTGGAAAGGGTTACAGAGGAACATAATGGGCTCAGGGACTGAACCCCACAATTCATTTAGCTAAGCAAGTTACAATCTTGATGAGCTAGTTACAAAATTCAATATAAGTCGTCACATCAACAATGGGTTCGATATCGACCTCAAGTACAGGTTCTAAATTAAGCAAATGACATATGTGGAGAGCTAGTGTCAAAATTTATGTTTGTCCTGCACACCGCCCCCCATCCAGTGGGCAGCGGTGGATAGGTTACAATCACTTAGTTACTACCTACAGTTAGCAAACTGGGGATATTTGGCTAAAATTTCTGGTAGCAGATCATTTTGAATGAAATATTGACACATCGCTGGAACATTGGTTATAGAATTGTCTCTAAATTCACGTATCTTTTCGCACTCCATCACATAGTGACGGAGGGTGTGCGAATAATTTTGTTGACACAGTTTACATTTGGTCAGGTCTACATCAGCAGATAATGAGAATTCCCAGAGATACTTGCACCGTCGTGTGTGTCGTGTCGTGAGTCGTGTGTGAACCGTTTTTGAGTCTTGTGTGAACCGACTCAGAGCCCAGATTCACGAAGCAGTTACGCAAGCACTTACGAACGTGTACATCTTTCCTCAATCTTTGACGGCTTTGGTTACATTTATTAAACAGTTTACAAGCATGACAACTTCCCAATCAACTGTTGTTACTGTTATAAACAGCCTCCTGGTGCTTCGGAGCTCATTAGCTGTTTAATAATTGTAAACTAAGCCGCCAAAGATTGAGAAAAAGATGTACAGGTGTGTAAGTGCTTGCGTAACTTCGTGAATCTGGCCCCAGGGGGTTTGGCGGGTGCATGGAATAAACTTTGGGCCTTTGTTTAAGAGGACAGGCTAACCACTTGGACGGTCGGGGATTGGACGCCCACCTTCATGACGCGAGACCGTCACTCTACCGTCCAGCCCAAATGGTTGGGAGTGGGTAGGAGGGGGGGGGGGTAGAATGAGACTCCACAGACGAAATGGATTTTATAGTCACGTAAAAAAAATACATGATAAACGAACTTAAGAGTGAGAATGTCTCCGATGATCTGGAAGGATTCGTGATCTGATAAGACATTGCTATCTTCGCCACGCTTGATCAACTTACTTCATGGTTGCCGAGAGCGGAAACACACCTCGTGTAGACTCCTGACAGTTTCGTTTCTGTTAATGCAATTATAACCTGAAATTTTCCCACGACTCTGTTCCCAGTTAAGAAGGTAAGGACTCCAAGACGACAACAACAACCGTGATATACAACCCTCCAACAATTAAAACAAACAAACACACAAACACACACACACACACACACACACACACACACATTACGAAGACAAGAGGTGCACGACCTGTAGATAAAACCCCCACAATAATAAGACACTCAAGACACACGCTACTCCAGCTCTTTTCTCTTACAAAACGGATCTATATACGAGAGAAAGTCGGAGAAAATACCAGGAAGTTCAATGCCAAAAATGTCGGCACAGCCATGATGAAACAAGCAATCAGGGAAAGGTGGAGAAGCGTAGGAGAGAGAGCGAGAGAGCGAGAGAGCGAGAGAGCGAGAGAAGGGTGGGGGGGAGGGGGGACGGAAAATACAGCAGAAAATGTTGGCGAGAAGATAATGCAGTAGTAAAGGGGGACTGCAATAAAATTTTCTGGACGCCTGAGAGAGGGTGAATTTCCGAAGACACATTCAGGATAGCGAAGGGCGGAGCTGGGTCACCCATCTCGCTGCACGGAGGAACGCCTATGTCGATTCTCAATCGACTTGAGAATGGTCCAAGACAGACCGAAACGTCGTCGTCCCTTCACCTTCTAGTGTGTGGTCTGGTCAACAGAAAGCCTATGTAATAACGATGTAAACTTAGGCTTTTATTAAGAAAAGGTTGCTAGAAAAATTATACCAAGATCTAAAACGGAAATTTGTCAAAATGAAAGGTTTAGAATAATTCCAAGCTGGAACACACAGGCATCGTCTGGGAACCTCTCGGACGTAGGTTCGAATCCTCGTCACGGCCCTTGTGGATTTGTCCAAGCTGGAAGCTGTGCAGTGAACTCGAGCAGGTGTCTGCACCCACCTACATCATACTATATTAATACAACAAAATGGGACCTGACAAGAGCAAGAGGAAAGGAACTATCACGAGAAAGCGCCAAGCTATTACGACTATGTAGCACTTGGAAGGGGTCAGAATAAGGATTTGGGATGGGACTGGGGAAAAGGAATGGGGCCCAATCACTTATGGACGGTCGGGGGTTGAACGCCGACCTGCATGAAGCTAGGCCATCGCTCTATCGTCCAGCCCAAGTGGTTGGGCTACGCACCTACACGACAGGGATCACAGGTGGGAGTTATTAGCAAGTCGACGACTCACTTTTGTCGATAGTGACGGTGAAGGAGGTGGCGATGTGCGGGGGAGCCCTAGGGTCGAGGGCCAGGGTGAAGGGCGGCCCGTGTCCCTGGCGCCAGTCGTCGGCGTCCCCGAGTCTGACCCGAGCCACCACCTGCGCCACGCCGTTCTCCACCACCTCCACCTCCCGAGGCTCCGCCAGGAACGGCGGGTTGTCGTTCACATCCGTCACGTTCACCTGAGGAGGTCACACGGGGGGTCAGATGGGGGGTCATGACCCGGCCAGTCTGGGGTCATGTAAGGTTAATTAAGTTAAAAGCTAAGCCGGAGGACTCGAGTTAGTAGCGGTTAATCCACTTAATCAATGTCAAGGGAGAGGACGCCCTCACCTGATCCTTATTTCAATAATACTTACACTTAGGGTGGCTGTGGCGGTCCTGGGCGGCACCCCGTCGTCCACCGCCCACACCAGCACACTGTGGGCGGCAACAGTCTCCCGGTCGAGGCCGCCCACGAGCCGGACAGCTCCGGCCCCGTCCACGCCGAACTGACGACCGGCGTCACTGGACGGGGATATGGCGTATGTGATCCTGCTGCGCCCGCCCTGTGGAGCCACATGACAACAATGATGCTGCTGGTGGGTGAGGAATGATGCTGGTGGGTGAGGAATGATGCTGCTGGTGGATGAGGAATGAAGCTGCTGGTGGGTGAGGAATGATGCTGCTGGTGGATGAGGAATGAAGCTGCTGGTGGGTGAGGAATGATGCTGCTGGTGGGTGAGGAATGATGCTGCTGGTGGATGAGGAATGATGATGCTGGTGGATGAGGAATGATGATGCTGGTGGATGAGGAATGATGATGCTGGTGGATGAGGAATGATGATGCTGGTGGATGAGGAATGATGATGCTGGTGGATGAGGAATGATGATGCTGGTGGATGAGGAATGATGATGCTGGTGGATGAGGAATGATGATGCTGGTGGATGAGGAATGATGATGCTGGTGGATGAGGAATGATGATGCTGGGGATGAGGAATGATGATGCTGGTGGATGAGGAATGATGATGCTGGTGGATGAGGAATGATGATGCTGGTGGATGAGGAATGATGATGCTGGTGGATGAGGAATGATGATGCTGGTGGATGAGGAATGATGATGCTGGTGGATGAGGAATGATGATGATGGTGGATGAGGAATGATGATGATGGTGGGTGAGGAATGATGATGCTGGTGGGTGAGGATGATGATGCTGGTGGGTGAGGAATGATGCTGGGGGGTGAGGAATGATGCTGGGGGGTGAGGAATGATGCTGGGGGTGAGGAATGATGCTGGTGGGTGAGGAATGATGCTGGTGGGTGAGGAATGATGCTGGTGGGTGAGGAATGATGCTGGTGGGTGAGGAATGATGCTGGTGGGTGAGGAATGATGCTGGTGGGTGAGGAATGATGCTGGTGGGTGAGGAATGATGCTGGTGGGTGAGGAATGATGCTGGTGGGTGAGGAATGATGCTGGTGGGTGAGGAATGATGCTGGTGGGTGAGGAATGATGCTGGTGGGTGAGAATGATGCTGGTGGGTGAGGAATGATGATGGTGGGTGAGGAATGATGATGGTGGGTGAGGAATGATGATGGTGGGTGAGGAATGATGATGGTGGGTGAGGAATGATGCTGGTGGGTGAGGAATGTGTTTCATGTAATCAGGAAGGCCAAAATCTTCCGTGCAAGGGCCGTACGTAACTGGAGGCACGGACACTACGTACAGTCAGGTCAGTTCGGCCTCGTACACTGTGAAGGTTTACACAGCGAGTCGACCTGGGGTGCTGCCCGGGCCACCAGTTACTTTTCACCGGAACCAGGCTGCACGGGGGCCACACACCAGGCTGCCTGAGGGGGGGGCCACACACACCAGGCTGCCTGAGGGGGGGCCACACACACCAGGCTGCCTGAGGGGGGCCACACACACCAGGCTGCCTGAGGGGGGCCACACACACCAGGCTGCCTGAGGGGGGGCCACACACACCAGGCTGCCTGAGGGGGGCCACACACACCAGGCTGCCTGACGGGCTACACACACACCAGGCTGCTTGACGGGCCACACACACCAGGCTGCCTGACGGGCCACACACACACCAGGCTGCTTGACGGGCTACACACACACCAGGCTGCTTGACGGGCCACACACACCAGGCTGCCTGAGGGGGGTCACACACACCAGGCTGCCTGAGGGGGGCCACACACACCAGGCTGCCTGAGGGGGCCCACACCCGCTTCGTTTCACACCGAGGTTGTTATAAATATTAAATCTCCAGACACGTCTCCTGCCGCACGAAACCAACCAGACCGTGATTATACTTTCGTATTTCAATATCTAGGGACTTGATGATCCCACTCCCTCTCCCAGCAGGGATATCCCACCCCCGGGCAAGCACAGCGCTGCCCTTGGTAGAGCCTCCAGGAGGTATATCCCAGTGCTCATCCTCAGGGCAGCACAGTGCCGCCCCGGGCCCCACTCTCCGGGCCGGGGGGAGTGAGAGAGCCAGATAAGACAAGCAGGGGGTCCAGCGCTGTATAGCGCCGTGCTCTTTTGATGTTCAGTTGACCCCTGGGGGCCCCACATGGTTCGAATCCCCGACATCTGGTGGCACGGGAGCGGAGGAATGTTGGGATGTCGTATTCCGCTCTATACAACGTTCAGAATACACCTGGATGTTCTACAGAGACAAAAAATCCAACTTCTCTCTCTCTCTCTATTTATATCTTACCCCGTCTAGATCGTGGGCGGTGAAGGTGGCGAGTTGAGTGCCGGTGGGCGTGTCCTCCGGCAAGGTGAGGTGGGCGTGGTCGGAGACGAAGGTGGGCGTGTTGTCATTCTCGTCTAGGAGTCGGAGGTTGACCCAGGCGCCGTCCACGTGGTACTTGTCCCCCCACCCCTCCTCCCCCTGCAGTAAGTAAATAAACAAGAAAGAGAATCATTAGTAACCTAAAGAGACAAACACTTCATTATAAAACAGTTAATATACTCAATCTATATTCATGAGAGGGAATGTCTGTCTCTCTCTCTTTGCAGGGTGAATGGTCTGGAGTACGGGACGAAGATAGTCTTATACGTCAAAGGCGGCTGGCCCAGTCCCTTAAATTCCTTCCCTCGAAAATGCTGAATGTGAATTCAACTTTTTTGACAGAGAAAGGGAGGCGAAGGGGGGGATATGAGCGAAGGAGGGGACTGGATGAGGGAGGGAGGAGGTGGGGGGATAGGAGGGGGGGGGGGGGGGGAGGGAGAGAGAGAGAGAGAGAGAGAGAGAGAGAGAGAGAGAGAGAGAGAGAGAGAGAGAGAGAGAGAGAGAGAGAGAGAGAGAGAGAGAGAGAGAGAGAGGAGAGAGAGAGAGAGAGAGAGAGAGAGAGAGAGAGAGAGAGAGAGAGAGAGAGAGAGAGAGAGAGAGAGAGAGAGAGAGAGAGAGAGAGAGAGGAGGAGAGAGAGAGAGAGAGAGAGAGAGAGAGAGAGAGAGAGAGAGAGAGGAGAGAGAGAGAGAGAGAGAGAGGAGAGAGAGAGAGAGAGAGAGAGAGAGAGGAGAGAGAGAGAGAGAGAGAGAGAGAGAGAGAGAGAGAGAGAGAGAGAGAGAGAGAGAGAGAGTAGAGAGAGAGAGAGAGAGAGAGAGAGAGAGAGAGAGAGAGAGAGAGAGAGAGAGAGAGAGAGAGAGAGAGAGAGAGAGAGAGAGAGAGAGAGAGAGAGAGAGAGAGAGAGAGAGAGAGAGAGAGAGAGAGAGAGAGAGAGAGAGAGAGAGAGAGAGAGAGAGAGAGAGAGAGAGAGAGAGAGAGAGAGAGAGAGAGAGAGAGAGAGAGAGAGAGAGAGAGAGAGAGAGAGAGAGAGAGAGAGAGAGAGAGAGAGAGAGAGAGAGAGAGAGAGAGAGAGAGAGAGAGAGAGAGGAGAGAGAGAGAGAGAGACCCGGGCGCAACCGGTTACCCCAAGTAAACTAACACGACAGGGAAGCAAGAATATTAGTGATCTAAACTATCAAAATAATCAGTTATACGCAGCCTAATTAAACAAAGGGATAAAGCCTAACTATAATTTAATGAAATTAGACACCAATCATAATAAGGAAAGTCGGAAGGTGTCGGTGTGGGTGGGTCGGGTGTCTAACTGTTCAGCCCCGTCATTGTAACTTATTGTCTGCTAAATTTTATTTTTTTTATTTTTTTTATTTTTACATGCAAGCATGCAAGATAAAGACATACAATAAAATATCAGAGAAAACAAAAACAAAATACAGAAGCTACTGGCCAGAAGAACCGACAGCACAGGACAATAATTAGCAAAAATGGAGGAACAGCATACATCACGACAAATTAAAGAACAAAAACAATAACAAACAAGCAAATAATGTAAGCAAATAAACAAAACAAACAAACACCGGCCAGAAGGACCGACAACAAAACACATCAAAATTTAGAAAATGAAACATAACAAGACAATGCACACACAAACAAATCATAAATATAAACAAAGGGAAAATTAAAAAGAAAACAATACAACATGGTAATACAAGGTAATACATGAAGAGAATGCACACTCTGCAAAACACCGGCCAATCAGCGGACATACTTACCCGGGAACAAAGCCCGGGGGAAACGCACATTGAACGCCTCCCAACGTAACCACCCCCAAGGGTCTCGCACACCCACCGGGAACGCCATGTCACCCGGAACCCTAGCTACAAACACTAGCAAGCAGGGGACCCAAATGGTATCACTCCTGACGCGAGTAACTGCCACAATCCCCAACATCAAGGGAACACCCCCACCATGAAATTCCCCCGGCTCGTCATTCAGCAGTAACTCGGCAATCGCCGACCAGTGACTCGGTGGCATCACCGACGCCGGCAACACGTCCCCCAGGTCCCCAACACACACCCTCACAAGAGGGGGCCGGACATAGGACACCACCACTGGGGCACCAGCGGCCATGGGCACACCACCAGACGACTGCAGGGAACCTGGGCGGCGCGCATCCTTCCGTAATGTCACAACCAGGCCACGCCCAGCACCAGCAACCACACCATCCCTGGGAGCGGGAGCCACCACCTCCCACTGCGGAGAATCCCCAGGCGGAGAAGGAACGGAAGGCACCCCCGAGACCCGGGCACCAGCATCAGCAAGCACATGAACCTCTGCCACCACCAACCGTGGAGACGGCGACACATCCGGTTCCACACCGTCAACTCCCAAGGACCCACAGTCACCGAATTCTCCAACATCGGCCCAGGCAGACGACGAACGCCTGGAATGCTTGGGCTCCGGCCGGAGATCGTCAGAGCCGGAAGCAGATACAAAAACACGGGTCCCACCAGCTGGACGAACCGACGCCCGACGCAGAACGGCAGCAGCCTCCACCACAGGTGGAACCGGACCACACACAGCAGGAGGCTCCGCAGCCACCCCAGCACCCAGCACATCCGGGACCCGAGGCGAGAACACAGGGCCAGGCGCAGCAGCCGAAGACGAGGGAGAAGGCGGCGGCGCGTCACAATGATCACTAGGAAGGCCTTCAGGAGCAGCAGAGACAGTGACAGGAGCACGTAGACCATCCGATGGCACTGCAAGACCCGGAGGAGAGTCTGTAACAACCGGAGGAACGTCCGGCGACGTAGGGGGAGCCTCATCCGCTAACTGAACGCTCACCTCTTCATCCCTAGAGACCTCCTCCAGAGGGAGCGGTGGGAAATCTACTTCCCGGAACAAGTTGACCGGAGCAACCGGATCCGCAGTGCATCCGGCAGCCTGATGCCCCAACATGCCACACCGGAAACAAGTACGGGGTTGCCGGGCATAATACACCCGCACGTAGTACCCTAAAAGTCGGATAGAGGATGGAATGTCCGACCTCAGGCGCATCCCGAGAGTACGAATGTTCGTCTTCAACCCCGCATATTTTCCAGAAGACAGCTTGTGCATTCTCACACTGACGACGGAGCCAAATCTCTGGAAGAAACGCCGGAGAAGGGACTCAGGGAATTCCATGGGGGCCCCATGGACGCTCACATACGTCACGGCACCACTCCGATCAGATATGGCCACAGAACCAGTGCCATCCAACAACTTCAAGGTACGACCCTCGTACCGCCGGAGAAATCCACGGTACGCCTCCTCACCCACAAACTTGATGATCACCCGGCGAGCAGTCACCAGCTCAACCCCGTAGACCTCCTCGACCGGGACATGTAGCACGTCACACATGACCTGCTCAATGAGAGGATACCCTGCACGGCAGGTAAACTCCAAACCCACGGAGTTTACCCTCTCAACAGCGGGAAGATGGCCGCTCATCGTAAAAGCGCCACGTCAACACCAGGCAACGAAAACTGCAACCTCCCCAAACTGCCGGAGCGGTCAGACGACACGTCTGCACCCTACGGCAGCTCAGGTGGGACTCCACATTGTCTGCTAATTGTAGTTGATAGAGAGCGAAACAACAGGATTACCAAGTAATAAAATATAACACTCAGAGAACTAATGTAGTTATCAGTCGACTATTGTATTATATCAAGTAACTGATATAGACTATTTTGATTTTTTTTTTACAAACTAGTTAAAAGTCCTTGAAAATTTGAATTATTAAATGACCTAGATAAACAAGGTCCAGAACAGTTTTATTAGACAATGTTTAATTGTACAAAAAACAAAAAATGACGGTAGAAATCAGATTAAGAAATGCCTTTATTGGGGGGGAGGGGGGAGGGGGGGGGACCGGGCCCAAAGGATATCTGACCAACTGAGCTATAATTAATATGTCAGACTCCAAGAACAGCCTCCTTGCTAGGTCTTATAATACTACAAGTTCTCTAACATAATGAGAATGACCCAAACATTGTCCTCTGGAGTATGTGTCCGCTAATGGCTGATAATATTACACAATGTGATGCTTAATACAGCTTTGAACACCTGTCGTTGTTTCACTGTGATGCTTAACACAGCTTTGAACACCTGTCATTGCTTCACTGTGATCCATAACACAGCTTTGAACACCTGTCGTTGCTTCACTGTAATCCATAACACAGCTTTGAACACCTGCCATTGCTTCACAGTGATCCATAACACAGCTTTGAACACCTGTCGTCGCTTCACTGTGATCCACAACACAGCTTTGAACACCTGTCGTTGCTTCACTGTGATCCATAGCACAGCTTTGAACACCTGTCGTCGCTTCACTGTGATCCATAACACAGCTTTGAACACCTGTCGTCGCTTCACTGTGATGCCTAACACAGCTTGAAATACCTGCCATGGTTTCCCCTCTCCCACAAAAGGTCACACCCGTTCCACCCCTCCAGCAGCCACACCGGCTAAAGCTTTTTGCGACATAACTCATTTGTTACCGAAGCGAGAGTATGCAGGGAGCTGTCACCAGCTTGCAGGTGGTGGAGGCATGAACTGCAGGGTGCAGGGGGCGAGCGACAGGCATCAATTAACATGTTGTACAGGAGAGGGGGAGGGAGGGCGTATCGTACTGCCCTAGGGGTTGGTGCTGGGTTTATAAAGGTCTATCAACCTCTGGAGGCTTATTAATACCTCCACAATGCCTTATTGACCATCAAGTATACTTCTGTCCTGAACATAGACCAGGACTAAAATATACACTATTATATACACCGAGAAGCGGAGCATATCTTTGTATATTCTTTGGATATCTGTCTTTGATATCTAACTACATAGATAAAAGACTTGTTACAATGTGGCCAGAAGACTGAAGATAAAACATCAATAAAAACCCCCCATTATTATTTGTAAACCATTCAACTAATTGTTTTCAAACATTTACAAAAAGGCTGAAGCATCTTCCATTGTAGATATGAAATACAAAAAAAATTATGAGGCGCGTCGCAATTTTGTTTGATTAAATCTCTTTGAATGTCACACGAATACAATTAATTGGCTTTATTGCAAAGTGTGCAGGAGCATCCTTTAAGGGCAGGAGGACCCGAGCGTAAAGTGTTAACAAGGAATAACAATGTGACTGCGTTAACATATCGACAAACTTCTTGAGCCATTCTAACTTCCTTGCTACTTTCTTCAGCCTCGACGATCTTTGGAAACGGTTCTAGAAGCCTGTCACCAGGCGTTACCTGATCCAATACTATCAGTGATGATTACCCTTGTCGTTACCTTTCCCTTGATTTCGGGGATCAACGTCCCAGCGGCCCAGTCTCTGACCAGGAATCATGATCTTTGCACAAATATACGTGTGTCAAGATGACAGGCGAAGGCCTTTTCGCCTTCGCAAAGAAAATACAAATAAAAATAATACATGTATCCTTCACATATTTCATCCTGGATACATTATGTAGCCTACACTTTTTCCTGTAACTATTTATAAAAAAAATGACCTGCATATTTACAGAGTACTTTATGATATTTGTTGCTCCGAAGTGATTAATCAATACAACTCTGCGCCACATAAAATTCACTCGCACATGATCATTGCCGCAATTACAATGTTCTGCTCCATGAAGCAGGCGAGTTAAGCGGGGCAGAACTAGTCAGCTGAATATGACGGGTTTTATGGAGGGCGAGACATAATGTGTGAATTTAATGCAGCTAAACCTAGCGTACATGGGTGTCATCACTGTTCAGTACAGAGACCAGCTCAACTCTGGCGCTGGAGAAAGACAGGAAGGAGCGAGGGGAAAGAGAGAGACAGACAGAGAGAGAGAGAGAGATATGATGATGGAGTTTGAGATGGTGCGTGCGATGGTCGAGGTTCAGGGCACCACCACCTGACTGTATATTGAAAATGTGATGTACTGCTGGCCCGTGTATAGCATTGGTTTACCGTTTTGAGGTAGTGGGGCCGGTGTGCTAGTGGTGTATTGTGCTACTCTTATTGGTCCAAGTGGGCTGTAATGACACTGTAGCTGGGATTGTGCCGTGTAGAGCAGTTGTTGCTACAGGTGGTTGTGGTGTTATATTGTGCTTGTGTTGCATCGTGGGTGTTCTCGTTCCTGTGCGCAATTCTAGAGACTTGGAACACCTTAGGTTGTGTTCCAGTGAGAGGGACAAAGTGTTTTAAAGTGCTGGTGGTCCTGTGTTTTGCACTCTATAGTGACTTTGTAGAGTTGAAGTCAAGAGATTGCATTTCATGTAGTGGTGTTGTTGTTGGTATATTTTGAATAAAGAAAATGGCTTAGAATATATTGGTCAGGGGAAACTATAAATGAATATGTCTCTACCCGGGAAGACTCCGAGATTGGAAACGACAGGTGGAGTGGAGTTTGCGGTTCTCGGTCTGGAAAGACGAGGTGCCCTCAAGCAACAGGTGGGGGGAGCAAAGTGGTCGGCCTTGGAAAAGACAGCACTAGGCTTCACAAGACTACAGTAGCCTGCCTGAACTCCAGAAACTAAGCTACACAAGATTAGAATAGAATGCCATTACAAGGCTACACAACACTGCAGTAGCCAGCCAACATTAGGCTACACGACAATGCAGTAACCTGCCAGCACTAGGTCAATGTCGCTCTCTGCCAGCACTAGGCTACACAACAATGCAGTAACCAGCCAGCACTAGGCTACACAACAATGCAGTAACCAGCCAGCACTAGGCTACACAACAATGCAGTAACCAGCCAGCACTAGGCTACACAACAATGCAGTAACCAGCCAGCACTAGGCTACACAACAACGCAGTAACCAGCCAGCACTAGGCTACACAACAACGCAGTAACCTGCCACCACTAGGCTACACAACAATGCAGTAACCTGCCACCACTAGGCTACACAACAATGCAGTAACCTGCCACCACTAGGCTACACAACAATGCAGTAACCTGCAAGCACTAGGCTACACAACAATACAGTAACCTGCCAGCACTAGGCTACACAACAATACAGTAACCTGCCAGCACTAGGCTACACAACAATACAGTAACCAGCCAGCACTAGGCTACTCAAGAACACAGTTGACTCATGGTAGAAAGCTTCGCCGGAGAAAAAGACCTCCTCCATTACTCGCTCCCGCCCAAACTTGGCAATAAACTTACCTCATCTGTCACCTCCACGCGGAACCGGAAGCCCAATCTGTGGTCCGGGTTTTCGAAGTCGAGAGCGGTGAGAGGGCGGAGGTCCCCGCCAGGGCCGCCACCACCCCGCCCTTCCACCAGGAACATCTGCCACCCGTGTCCGCTCTCCGGAACCACCTGCAGGAGGAACACTTGTCACTCGTCAAGAAGAACGTCTCAGCCGCGCTCGACAATGGTATTTCATTCATTCTTGCACTTATATAGCCTTCCCGGCTTGGTGCCTTCTTTGATAATTACTTCATTCTTGCACTATTTTTTTCCCCTTAAACATGATTGTAGAGGAATATAAACGCCTTCCGACTCCTGTAAGTAGGCTGAGAGCGTTCCCTTCCCATAGCTCATGGTAAGCCTTACTCTTGCCCCACTCTCCCTCCCTATCCTTACACATTCCACGCTTTTTAATGTTCAACTGTTTGTGCTGGTAGGTCCACCACAAGTTAGTAACCACCAAAAGCTAGTTTACTGCTGTAAAGCTACTATTAAAAGTACCTACAACAATCATTATTGATATTACCGCTACTCTCACAGCTAGTTACACTGCTGTTATTACTACAGTTTCCTTTAGGTATGGGTGCTGCTACCACCACAGAGACCACCCGGCCACAGCCAACCACACCAACCACTTACTCTGAAAGTGAAGTTATTGGTGACATCCTGGTCGACCACTGTGAGAGTAGCGAGGACGCGCTCTGGACGGTGGCTCTCAGAGACGTCCAACGTCCACTCTGGTCGCGAGAATCTGGGAGGGACGTCATTAATGTCCTCCACGTCCACCACCACCGTCCCTGTGCCTGGAGGGAGGAGTGAGAGGGGAGATGAGAGGAGCAGGGGGGGGAGAGCAAAGACGACAGGGATAAATAAGTGGGTGAGAGGGGATAAATTGATTGGAAAGGAAATATTGGATCCAAGTTGGGAAGAGGGGAAGGTAGAGAGAGAGAGGTACGGAGAGGGGGGAGGGGTAGGGGGAGATATGAGGGGGAGGGAGGTAGAAATATGTGGAAGGGGGAGGGGGAGGTAGAGGTTAAGATTCCCGGTCTATATCTGGTAGAAGTTAGCGAGTTAAATATACAAAAGTTGAGACAGAAGGGCCACGTGTAGCTGTATGTGTGTGTGGTTCCCGACCTTGTTGGTGCCTTGAACCAGTGACTCGACCTTCGACCCTCACCACCTTCCCCCTGAGCAAATCTGTGCAAATAAATGTCGATTGATTAAGCGTCGATCCTTTATTGACTACGTCAATTTAACGCTGCACGAACATCTATCCGCTGCGTTCAATATCCAACTGTGACGTTATTTCAACGATGAATCAATGTTACTGTGATATTGTGCCTAGGGGAGTTAATTTACCCCGCAATTTTACTCGCTCTATGGGTTGATTTCACTGGGGGGAATTTTAATTTGAACCTTTTATGTAAAGGACAACTACGAAGAGACCTGTCTGTAAAGTGTTGACTACATCTACCTTATTCCTCCACGTCTTAGCCCTAGCCTTTGAACTCTCATTTACAAACGAAAAAGGACCCATATATATTAGTTAACAAAAACTAGGCATCTCTAAATTAAAAATGAACCATACAATTTAGGTTCAAATATGCTCTATGGCTTTCCTTAGATAATTCACATACGTTGACCAATCCACACACTAGAAAATGAAGGGACGACGACGTTTCGGTCCGTCCTGGACCATTCTCACAATCGACTTGAGAATGGTCCAGGACGGACCGAAACGTCGTCGTCCCTTCATTTTCTAGTGAATGGATTGGTCAACATACCTCAGCCACGTTATTGTGACTCATCGCCTGCAATTCAAATACGTTATAATTAGGCCTACGCGAACTAACGATACATTAGCCATGAACTTAACACTAATCAATGATTGATCGAGATGTTACTCGAATGATTTTCGCACGAATGTGGTACGCGTAGCACTTGTTCAGGTATATACTGTGGCTACACCCACCCTCGAAGCTACCTACACTGTGGTAAGACCCAAGCCCTGGAAGCCACCTCCTGTATAGTACAGATCCATCAACCCATGAAGCCTGAAATGGTTCTGGGAGTTGTTCTAATCCCCCACACCCGACCCAGGGTCGGGCTTGCCCGGTGAAAACTTGTTCCAACAGGCTGTTGCTTGAAGCGGCCTGCAGCAACACTTACCTTTCAGGCCCCCTCCGTCAGTAGCCACCACCTGGATGGCATAGCGCTGTGTCTTCTCCCGATCGAGGCAGCACAGGGCCGTGGAGATGAGTCCCAGCTGGGTGTCGATAGTGAAGATGGGACTGCCAGTGGCCTCATCGATCACGTTCTTCTCCAAGGAGTAGAGGAGCTGGGCGTTCTGCCCTTCCCCAGGGTCGTCGTGGTCCGTCGCGACCACCCGGATCACCGGCGCCCCTGCAGAAGGCGCCGACGGGTGAGAACAGGCAGGTACAACCATTAAAAAAGACATGGAAGTAATTAATGCACTAGGGGGGAATTGATAAGCAATTAGTGAATTGATGGAGGGACGGAGGGAGAGAGGGTAAGAATGTGATGTAGAGACAGACAGATACAGAGATATATAGAGATAAGGGGGAGGGGGAAGAGATACTCTTGTAACTCTACTTTATTATATCCACCATTCTTGGGATAACTCCAACTACCTGGCAGTGATTCGAGGATAAACTCGATTCTAAATCAAATCAGCAGCGTATGCAAGACTCCCAAATATAAGGGACACTTTGGAATTTGAACAAAGAGTCATCAGGACCTTGAACACCACGAATACAGACGTAATCCCATACATATCCACCTGGTTGACCAGTCCAACAACTAAGAGGCCTGGTCGGAGACCGGGCCAAGGGGACATTGAGCCCCGAAATCACGCGAGGTAACCGCAAGGTACATAAACAACATAAGCATGGGGGTCTTAGGTTTGATAATGTCCTCCAAAATGCAGAATAAAAATGGAGTCTTGGGCCAGGATTTAATAAACATTTATGCATCTACTTACTAACCTCTACATTTTTTTTCCTCAATCTTTGGCGGCTTTGTTTACGTTTATGAAACAGTTTATGTGGATCGAATCGTCCCGGTCAAATGTTATCATTGTTACAAACATCCTCCTGGGGCTTCGGCGCTCATAAACTGTTTAATAATTGTAAACAAAGCCGCCAAAGATTTTGAAATGATGTAGAAGTTCGTAAGTACTTGCGTACCTGCTTGATGAATCCAGGTCCTGGCTCTGATGAAGTTCTCAGTTACGCAGTGTAAGCATGGAGCTTTGGAAAAACAATTGAAAATGATCCGAGATAAAAATTGCTATTTAGAATATTTGTAACGATTGCAATACTCACTATAATGGTGGCCATGAACTTGTATCCCCAAGGCTGTAAAAAATTGTATTGTATAATCTCAAAACACTGCAAGAGTCTGCCCTCACAGCGGAAAATGCTCACACCATACATAATGAAATCACAATAAATTGATATATCAAATGAACAAATCCCTCAACCCTAACACTAGTTAAAACTATAATAAACTATAAATAAAAATAGCTAAGAAGAAAAAACTAGATAAAACAAGAGAGGTCAGTTCTTTCAAGTACAGGGAAAAGTGGGACGTTCCCGATTTTAAATATTCTGTCCTTGTCCTTGTACTTGAGAGATATAGACACTGTGGCGGGGCTCACCCATGGGCGTGCTCTCTGAGATGGTGGCGGTGAGGACGGGCGTGGGGAAGAAGGGCGAGTTGTCGTTCACATCCTTGAGGTTGACCTGGACGTCTGTGTGGCCGCTCAGCTCCCCGTCACTAGCGGTTACCCGCAGGTGCCATTTGGCCTGACCGTGCGGCGGGTCGCGGTCAAGCGGCTGTGGAGGAGGAGGAGGGGGAGAGGTGGTGGATATCGTAGGGGGTGCCAGAGGGAGAGATGGCTAAACGGATTAGAGAAAGCCTTACAGTCTACACCCAGGTTATGTGCTGGGTACACCACCACTACTGTTGCTGCTGGGTGGGTGTCGGGTGAGAAGCAGTTTACTAGTATGGGTGTCAAGCCCACTAGCTGGTGTAAACAGTGACGGGGGTTTAATAGGGACAGAGCTGATCTATTTCCTCACCACTTTCTATGTGTGCCTCGCCAATTATGGCGAGCAAGTCACATATCCCCAATTCCCTCGTCTGCCTGGCTTCTATATCCAACTAACAACCATATTGCTCTCAGCCCCAACAACACCCCCTCGGTCTTGCCTAACACCTGCGCCTCGTTTCCTAGGTGACACCATTCAATAACGCCCTGGTCGGGCCTCGGATGGGTGCCCGCCGACGCCTCTACCAAGACACGTGGATATATGCGCCAGAAGCACGCCAACAGTTATAATTAGTCGTGTTAAGTGTTGTGTTGTGGTTTGCAGTCCAAGTTTTTTGTGAGGTGGAAGAGCGCTCAGTGTAGTTAGGAGGAAGGGAGGGAGGGAAGGAGAAGGGATTTGGAGCGAGCGAGGGAGGGAAGGAGAAGGGATTTGGAGCGAGCGAGGAAGGGAGGGAGGAAGGGAGGGAGAAGGGATTGGGAGGGAGGAAGGGATTGGGAGGGAGGAAGGGATTGGGAGGGAGAAGGGATTGGAAGGGAGGAAGGGAGAAGGGAGTGAGAGGGAGAAGGGATTGGGAGGAAGGACTGGGAGGGAGGAAGGAAGGACTGGGAGGGGAGGAAGGAAGGATTGGGAGAAAGGAAGGAAGTATTGGGAGGGATAGAGGGTAGGGGTGAGAGACATACCTAGCATACCTCGCTGGACAGGTATCTGGAACATGGGCTCACGAAATGTTGATTTGTCCTTTGTTATTCATTATTTAACGTCCGTAAACTTTAAAGTAATTGTTTTACAGTTAATTGTGTGTGTCGCTGCCTAGGGTAGCCCAGGTGTTATGTTTAACATTATTTATATTTGCACAACCCGTCTTCACAGTAGGCTGTTTACAGCAGCGGCCGTCCTCCCCAGACGCATTCATAAATGTTAACATACTGTGTATGTTAACATTTACATTACATTTAACATAAACATTGGTTTGGTCTCATATATAAATTAATATTATTATACATATAAAATCTATTTACAGTTAGCGTAGGTTTGGTTAGGTGTTTAGGTTCTGTTGGCGATTATTTGTATTTTAAGTACGTAGGTGAAGCATTTATAGAATTGTGGTTCGAACAGTGGACGTGAGCGAAGCACTTGTTCCGGAAGTGTTTGGACGTCATCAGTTGTGAGTCGTGTGTAAATCGCTTTTCACTGTTTAAACAGGAGGTTTGGCGGCTGGATTAACGAGCCTGGATCTTTGTATGTGAGAACGGGTTTATTTAAAGCACGTGGATGAAAAAATGTAGTACGGTGTGATTCGAATATTATGGAAAAGTTTGTGTGTCATTAGTTTTAAGTTGTGTGTAAGGTTTTTCCATTTTCACGTGTTTCATAAAAAACAAAAGTGTTTCCATCGAACACGGGGTTTGACGACCACACTAACACGCATTTATCTATTGTTTATGAGGACGAGCTGTGATTCCGAACTGATTACGTTCCAACTTTTGCTTGAAACTGCTTCGCTCATTCTATGTTCGCACCAGATCTCTCTAATTGCTTCACCCACGTTCTGTAAACAAGCACTTTATGACTGAGACAAAGGGCCGTTGGGTTCACAACGAATAAGTCAGATACTGACATAATTCAAATCAATAAAAGTTAGCATTTAATAGTTCACGTGACCATGCTCGAAGCTGATTTCGAAACGTGTTTCGTTCACTTTTTCAACCTGTAAAGACCTATGCATAAACCTTCTCTATATATTAATAATAATAATAATAATTTTATAGTTGAGGAAAACACTTTATTGTGTGAGAATCGCCGTCAGATGGTTGTCTGCTGCTCGAGTTTAATACAGATTCAGTCAAATATTGACCCATTCATTTGACTAACAGCCTGGGTTGGATGACACGTTGGCGAACACAACCAATTGCTAGCAGAACCAAAACACAAACATGCCACATGCCTAATTATACAGTTATAATAAACATCAAATTATATTTCCACTCGATAAAACAGTTTTTTTGGGGATCACAGTACGTTAAAATTGACGAATGGGAGATCCCCCATTGGAGGAAGAGTCAGCTGCAGCCTAGTGAAGCTGAACCTGAGGCCACAGGTTCCTAGGAGTGTGATGAATCCCACCCCATCACAAGATATCATCAAGACAATCACCTTGAGAATGGTCTAGGACGGACCGAAACGTCGTCGTCCCTTCACCTTCTAGTGTGTGGGCTGGTCAACATACTTTAGCCACGTTATCGTGACTCATCACCTGCAAGATATCAATATCATCATCACCATCAGCTTACCCTCAAGAGCAGCACCGCGCCTGTGAGAGGGTCCACGTCGAAGCTGCTGGTGCCGTTGGGAAAGACGCCGTCTCCGGTCAAGGAGTACCTGAGGCGTGAGTGCTGCTCCCCGTCGCCGTCTCTCGCCCTCACCTGCCACAGGTAAACAACACACACGTCATCGAGTGTCAGCTGGTGATTCTTCTTGCGCACATTAGCTGTTTTGCGTGTGCGCGCATGTGTGTGTGTGTGTGTGTGTTTGTATACATTCATGCGTACATCTGTGTTTGTGTACATGTGTGTGTGTGGGTATATTGGATATTTTTTATTGTTTGTGAAGTTTGATATTAATAATGTCATTTATTATGCCAGTAATGGTGGCATTTGTTCATTTTAGGGTGTTCAAATTAACAGTTTCAGGAAGATCAAAAAGGTGCAAATAATTACCTTTAAAAATTGTATGTTACCTTATATTATATTTTTCGGTATTCATTTATAACAAAATTAATCTATTTAGGACGCTAGCAATAATTTTTAAATATTACAAATTTCACACGCAAATATCACCTGTATTGAATCAAGTGCTTTTAATGAAATTGTTGCTCTTATATTTCATTTATTATAGAGACTCGTTGTGATTAAAAAATGTAAACAAAATTGTTTTAGATAAGATGAGTGGCAATTTAACCTAAATTATGGTGTTTATATATTCTGGGTAGGGAAATAATTTTTTGTAATATCACAGAGAGAGGATCATTAATGCTATAATTGCCTACTTTAGGGGAACAGTTTAGTAAATCAATATACAATTTTCCAGTTAGGCGACCATCAGTGCTCAAAAAAAATTCTACTGGGGATTATCTGAGTAATTTTTTTTTTTATAATTGATTAGTAGTGGTGAAACGGACGGTGCTACAGGCTTGGTGACGTTTGATAATTATTCGAGTAAACATCTAGAGGTTTACTAGGGACGCTGGTAAACCTCTACAGGTTTACCAGGAACGCTGGTAAACCCCTACAGGTTTACCAGGGACGCTAGTAAACCCCTACAGGTTTACCAGGGACGATAGTAAACCTCTACAGGTTTACCAGGAACGCTGGTAAACCCCTACAGGTTTACCAGCGACGATAGTAAACCTCTACAGGTTTACCAGGAACGCTGGTAAACCCCTACATGTTTACCAGGAACGCTGGTAAACCCCTACAGGTTTACCAAGGACGCTTGTAAACCTAGCACGTCCCCAGCAGAGCTGCTAAGGACGTGCTCCCGTCTCTCCCTTACCGTCAAGATGACCTTAGGCAGATGACGGTCGTCTTCCTCTGTGATCTGCGTCTCGTGGAGCAGCCTGGGGAAGACAGGTGTGTGGTCGTTCTCGTCCACGACCCGCACGACCACCCTCGCCTCGCTCCTCGCCTCCCCCGCCCGCGCCTCAACCACCAGGTCGTACTACATGGCCGCCAAAAAAAAGACAAAAGTCATCTAAGGTCGTCAGACATGGCTGAGTAACCTAACCGGGTTCCAGTACCCTGGCGTGAGGAACAAATTGTAACAAGAGAGGCGACATGGTGCCCCAAAACGACATGGAGTCGTTCATTTGAAACACTACCACGAGGGGGACAAGCTGGAAATACATGATTGGTTCAAAGTCCTCCTTTAAAGGGTCGAGGGACTTCTAGCCAGCTACTAACTCAATTTCCAGCCTTAGAACGAGCGCACAATTCCAGATTGACTGCGTAGTGCGTTTCGGGTTTCGGGTTGACTTCGGGGATGAAGAGGGAAAAGGGGGTGAGAACAGGTGGACGGGATGCGAACGTGTATATGGATCCGCCAATCAGGGTTGGGGGAAAGAAGAAAGAAGAAAGGAAGGGTAATTACTACCACCAACACACCTTCTGACCTGCCACCGAGTACACTGTAGTCCTCAACATAATTCCGGCCAGGTAAACTCTCAGGCTATATACACAGGTAAACTCTAGAGAAGAGGAATACACCTTTCGGTAGAGGAGATGGTTGAGGGATGGTCCGTATTTTTTACTCTGTGCTTGCGGGGGTTGAGCTTCGGTTCTTTGGTCCCGCCTCTCAACTGTCAGTCAACTGGAGTACAGGTTCCTGAGCCTGTTGGGCTCTATTATATTAAACTGTGTATGGAGTCAGCTTCCTAACATGACTTTCTAGGGCCTTCTATTTGTTAACTACTCTGACACTGACAAATTCTTTCTAATGTCTATGTGCCTCATTTGCGTCCTCAGTTTAATGCTCAGGTACTATGCCAAAGGCTTTCTGGCAATACAAAAATATGCAGTCTGCCCTGTCCCAGTCTAATTTTTGTCGCCTGGTCATAAAATTCTCATAAGCCTGTGAGGCAAGATTTACCCTCAGTGAATTCATGCTGGTAATCTGTAACAAAGTTCCTTCTCTCCAGATGTTCTATTAGGGGTTTTCACAATATTCTCCATCACTTTGCATGGTGTACAAGTTAAGGATACTGACTTGTAGTTCAATACCTCCTGTCTGGCTCAATAATTGAATATTGGGACTACATTAGCTGTCTTCAAACTTTTAGGTAGTTCTTCTGTTACTAATGACCTGTTATATACCATGAAGAGTGGCAGGCATAGTGCTTCTGTTCCCTCTTTTAGAATCTATAGTGAGATTCCAACTGGACCAACAGCTTTTGTCACATCCGGTTCCAGCAAAGGCTTTCTTCACCATTGGTAATCTCAAATTCCTCCAGTGATGCCTGGTTCAACCCCCCCTCTCTCTGTCTGTGCCTGCGTGTCTGTGTCTGTCTGTCTGTCTGTCTGTCTGTGTCTGAGTGTCTGTGTCTGTGTCTGTCTGTCTGAACCAGAGTGTCTGTATGTCTGAGCCTTCGTCTCTCCCAGCTTCTGAATCCCACCTTTAAGCTCTCGGATTAATGTAGCAACTTAAAATTTCCATATATGTCTTCACGTTGTTCCAAATTTATATTAAATAGTTTTCGTTTATACACCGTGTTTGCCTCCGAGTATTTTGTATGTTGGGATCTGTTCTACTCTGCTCTTATCTTTTTTTCTCGTTTTCTCTTCTCTTCTTCTAGTTCCATTTGCCAAAACTCATACCACTTGTGTTAAACCGCTTGATCTTTTAAGTTTTTGTGTATATGGTCTGTTATATTTGGGTGCAAGCTAGTGCTGCATACTCTAGCACTGGTCTCACGTATGTGACGTGGAGTTCCAGGACTTAAGGAATATTCTGCAGAGGTGGCGATGACTGTCACACACAGTGTCACACGCCTGTTCTGTCAAGAGACAGGCCGCAGACAGAACGACTGGGCAGCAGACAGTAAAGAGAGAGAGAGGTTATCTTGAGGTTATCTTGAGATGATTTCGGGGCCTTAGTGTCCCCGCGGCCCGGTCCCCGACCAGGCCTCCACCCCCAGGAAGCAGCACGTGACAGCTGACTAACACCCAGGTACCTATTTTACTGCTAGGTAAGAGGGCATAGGGTGAATGAAACTTTGCCCATTGTTTCTCGCCGGCGCCCGGAATCGAACCCGGGACCACAGGATCACAAGTCCAGTGTGCTGTCCGCTCGGCCGACCGGCTCCCTAGAGAGAGAGAGAGAGAGAGAGAGAGAGAGAGAGAGAGAGAGAGAGAGAGAGAGAGAGAGAGAGAGAGAGAGAGAGAGAGAGAGAACACCACAACAATGCCTGCCCAGGAACATGATAGACGTAGATAAACAGTTCTTTTGTTAGAGGTACATATAATATTAGAGTGTGAGGACCCTCCTTTACTTGTCCTCTGCTGCTCCTCCTGCTTCTTTGTCTTCCTCTGTTGCTGTTCTTCTTCTTCTTCTTCTTCTTCTGTAGTTGCTTCTGTTCCTGCTGCTGTTTCTTGTGATGCTTGTGATAACAGTAGTGTTCTGTGAACCGCTCACTGATCTACTGTTATGAGAGAGAACTAGGTAACATTCCTTCTCATCATACATGGAATACATACTGTCACATCTGACATTATGCATTCACTTTTTCCTCTACCTCCGAATATGCTGACGAGTACTTTAACGAAACACATCCTTTTCTGACACACGTCAGACCCATTAAAATCATAACAGGAACTTTGTTTAAATAATTTATCAACTTACTTCCCAAGGTAAAAACTTAAGAAATATAGAGGAGATTCATGCAAGAATCACTGATCTAATCCTTTCAGTCATTTTCAATAAGACATAACTACAAGGACGACTAGAATTCAACTTATTGATAAGTATTTTGAATATTTCGAACAATACTCAAATTGGCACTTAGGATACATAGGCTAACATATAATATATTATATATTGACAAAAAAAGGATATAGAAACTATTGTTTAATCGGTTGGAATTTAACTCGCATCTGTGGACGTCCCTAACATTGGCACTACCCACTGTACCATGATGGGCTTTAAAAGTATCCCAACCAGACGTTTTACCAGACATTGAGGTTGTGTAAGAACTCCGACTACAGCCTATGACACTCCCAAACCCCCTATGTGTCATGTGTGCAAGTCGGGTGAGGATATTCCCCAAGTGCCATGCCTCCTACTTTAGACATACAGACAAGTAGATATTACGTTATATAGATATAGATTCAACTAAAGTAGAAATAAATTAGGTGCACACAGAAATCACAATTGCGTGATGCATCAAATGAACAAATCCACAAACTCGATGCTCTCGGACGCAGGTTCGAATCCTCGTCACGGCCCTTGTGGATTTGTTCATAAATTAGGTGAGTTTCTGGGCCATAGCGGTCCAGCTGGAGAGACGGTGGAGACAGTCTTAGTTCACGACTGTTCCTTCCTCCTCAGGTGACGCCATGGTGACGCCTTTGGTGACGCCTCTGGTGACGCCTCTGGTGACGCCTCTGATGACGCCATGGTGACGTCTCTGGTGACGCCATGGTGTAGAATCTCGTCTCCAAGAGATATACAGCTGGTGAGCTGTCTCGACGGACGGTAGCAGCTGGCTATTGTAAACTGCCAATGCCCAAGCCGAAGGTACAACGGATGCCTTCAAGATATAATAAGAAAGATCAGACCATGTACGCGAGAAAGATGAGGTCAAGCCCCTTATGGATGAGACGGTCATACCCCCCATGAGTGAGATGAGGGCCATGGGGGGCACTCATCACTAACACCTGGTGCAGAGAGTGATATGTCAAGCGCCACACACTCAAAAACACTTCCGAACTCGCTGCCAGAAACTTATTATTCATTGTTATCACCTTGGGCAAAACTTAGAGCCTGCTCCTCGCCCTCACCGGCAATACTGTTAAATTGAAGCTGTCTTGAGGGAGTTATGAGTGATGGTTTAGTTCTCCGCAATTGATTGTCCATGGCTGACCTGATTGGCATTGTCTTACCTCTTTTCTTTCTCCATTCCTGTGTGTCTGTCTGTCTGTCTGTCTGTCTGTCTGTCTGTCTGTCTGTCTGTCTGTCTGTCTGTCTGTCTGTCTGTCTGTCTGTCTGTCTGCCTGTCTGTCTGTCTGTCTGCCTGTCTGCCTGCCTGCCTGCCTTTCTGTCTGTCTGTCTGTCTGTCTACCTGTCTGTCTGTCTGCCTGTCTGTCTCTCCCTCACTCTCTCTCTCTCTTTAAACTAAGACTAGGGGTGAGGAATCTAAGAAGTCTGCTCATTTTCCTAATGAAACTATAAGCTAAGGGCTGTTATCCTACATCAGCTCCTCTCAAATCCGACCCTAGAAACTCACTTATTTGATGAGCTTATTACAGTAATAATTACAAATAAACTATAAAATTTAATGCCAAGTAACCCTCAGGCAGGAAGCAGTATGAGCCAAGAGCCAACGGTGTGCTAAAGCTTTCAAATGACCTCGTTGACTCACGTATCTGCGGGTTGAGCAAGTGTGTCTTAAGTGCGTCAGTCTAGGAATAAATGAACGTTGATGAGGCGAAGGTCTTGAGAAAGGAACAGCCAACACGAGGCTGATGATGACTGAGCGCCTTGTGTAGTGATTGCCAACTTCTGTTTGACCACGAAGTTGGGGGCAGAGGGGGGGAAACATTAGGTACATTTCCCTTGTAAATCCGGCGACATCTCTCTGGTGTTGAAGGCTCTGATCTTGGCGCTTCTCTCCCGGATAATTCCCTTTCTCCCTTCCCCCCTCTCTCACTCCATCTTCCACCCCCCCCCTATGTCGCCTCACCTGCTGCTGATGCTCATAGTCGAGGGGAGAGGTGAGGCCCAGTCGTCCAGTTGAGGGGTCGAGGGTGAAGACGCCCTCGTCGTTCCCCTCAGCGATCCTGAACTCCAGCGGCGCCCCTGAAGAGAGAGACGTCAGAGGATTACGGGACTAAAGAGGGTTGACTTCAAGGGGGGGAACATTGCTGGGTCCTTTTTGAAAGTCAAAGGGAAGATCATTACCTTAGATTAGAGGTGTCTGGGATGATGATGCGTTGAGAGTTTACAAAGGGATGTTCCAGGATGATACTTGATGGATCTAAGATGATATTATGAGGTGTTAGGATAATAATATGAGGTTCCATGATGACAAATGAAGGCTCCAGGATGACCTCCAATTTGGAAGATAATCTGAGGTTGTAGAATGATAATATGAGGCTATAGGATCATAATATTAGGCTCTTGGATGATAAAAAAGTTGTAAGAAAATAATCTGAGGTTCTAGGATGATAACATAAGGCTATAAGATGTTGTAACTGCCCCTTTACACCAGTGAAAGGTGCATTGGGCAGAAGAACGCCTGGTTTCTTGCACGTGAAGGAAGTTTCCTAACAAAAACTTAGCAGACGTCTAGAAATTACTGCTGCTATAGGCTTAGGCTCGGTTACAAGTACCTCTGGGAGTTAGTATGGGCCGCTATGCCCTTGAATGTGAGACTATTTCAGAATCCAGAGATGACGCAATTAAAAATGTTCAAGAAATGTGTAACTCTACTTCATTCAAAATGATGAACTGCTAGAAATCTTAGCCTAGCATGCAAAGTTTGCTTACACTAGGCTTGATTGATGTTTTGTACTAAACATGCACTTAACTGTAAAGCTGCCGCCCAGTTGGGTAGGTGTGGAACAAGATTAGTAACTGACTCACCGCAGATGTAAATTGCTATATTATATATATATATATATATATATATATATATATATATATATATATATATATATATATATATATATATATATAAATAAATGGAAAAGTCCGTCTCTTCGAGGTTTCGAGGTTGGAGGCCAGACACCAAAACGAATGAGAGAATGGGGCAAAGAGAGGAAGGAGGGGAGGAAAATGGGGGAGATAGGAGGGAAGAGGGGGAGTGGGGAGGGAAGAGGAAAGAAAAAGGGTTGGAATCAGAGGGTGAGTGGCAGGCCAGACAACCCCGGGCACCCCCGGGTACCCCCTCCTAGTATAATATAACGGAAGACCCCCTACGATTACACCCAGGCGAAGGAGAGAGAGAGAGAGAGAGAGAGAGAGAGAGAGAGAGAGAGAGAGAGAGAGAGAGAGAGAGAGAGAGAGAGAGAGAGAGAGAGAGAGAGAGAGAGAGAGAGAGAGAGGTGCAGAAAGAGGTAAACTATAATTAGGACCATAACTCAGACATTGGCGGACCTTCTTGCGTTATCATCAAAACTTGGGCACGGTCGAAACGACTTTAGATCAGTCGGTGGATCGAGCAGTGGGAGGCATGGTAGCCAATGGGAGAGCTTGGAGGAGTAACATGGTAGCCAATGGGAGAGCTTGGAGGAGTAACATGGTAGCCAATGGGAGAGCTTGGAGGAGTAACATGGCAGCCAATGAGAGAGCTCAAGGGGCAACATGAGAAGGCTTTCGTGTATTTAACACATTCTCATTCCCTCGCCCGTGTTAATACACAAAAGCACTCAGCCTTATTGTTTCTCCTATGTGGCTACTGATGCATACCTGGAGCACATATATATATATATATATATATGTTGTACCTAGTAGCCAGGACGCACTTCTCAGCCTACTATGCAAGGCCAGATTTGCCTAATAAGCCAAGTTTTCATGAATTAATTGTTTTTCGACTACCTAACCTACCTAACCTAACCTAACTTTTTCTGCTACCTAACCTAACCTAACCTAACCTATAAAGATAGGTTAGGTTAGGTTAGGTAGGGTTGGTTAGGTTCGGTCATTTATCTACGTTAATTTTAACTCCAATAAAAAAAAATTGACCTCATACATAATGAAATGGGTAGCTTTATCATTTCATAAGAAAAAAATTAGAGAAAATATATTAATTCAATAAAAGTTGGCTTATTAGGCAAATCGGGCCTTGCATAGTAGGCCGAGCACGACCTTCTGGCTACTAGGTACAACATATATATAAATATATATATATATATATATATATATATATATATATATATATATATATATATATATATATATATATATGTTATGAGATCACACGATGCATTAAAATGAACAAATAAAATACAGAATACAATAGTATGTTAGAATTATGTTCACGTTGACACAAAATAATTGAGGGAGAAAATCCGTAGGAGCAGTGATGCGGATTCGAACAACTGAAACCCAGATGCTTCAGATTACTGTTGTCAAAACAACTCGAACGAAGGTTATATATATATCTCCCTTCAGGCGATGGTATCTTGCGCCGGCGTTGAGTCATCCACATACACAAGCATACATGAGTTGATAGAAAGTTGAGAGGCGGGACCAAAGAGCCAAAACTCAACCCCCGCAAGCACAACTAGGTGAGTACATGAGTGTAGGAGCTACGCGCGTATCTAGGTAGAGTCCGAAGGGTCCTGAGGGTCTGAAG